AATACAAAACTAATATGGCGTCTAAGTCGCGTTTTATCCTAAATTGGGATAATTATAGTAAAAATATTATTTTTATGAGTTAGTTAGAGACATATGTCAGATGGCAGTGAAGGAAAACAAAACAAAAGTATTTAAGTGTGGGGGATGTTTGAAGATCATAATTATTGAAACACTTTAACCGACTCGGTAACTCGTTACCCAAGGCAAAAAAGTTAAACGCAAACAACTTTATTGATAAATGTATTGTTTCTACTTTGAAAAATACTAATGGGCCTTAAAATTAAAGAAGTTTTAAAAATTTTCTTGAATTTTTTTTTTTTTTTTTAAAATGAGAATAACTTATTCGCAGTCGAAAAATTGTTTCCGCGTGTTTTTTAGGGTCAAATATTTCAAGTTAATGTATTCAAAAAGCAGGAATTGCTATTTTAGGAACGAAACATTTTCTTATTTAACATCATGGCGGCTTTCACTTTGTTGTTTTTGAGATTAAGATGGAGTAGTTCGAGTAGTCGCATACTGGACTAATAAAGTCGCAGTTCGGCCTTAACAGGTAGTATACTAGTCGCAAGATTGCCTAATTTAGTCATCCTAAAGTCTAGCTTGTGCCGACCTCTATAATATAAATAAACGAGGGAGTGGATAAACTATCGGTAATATATGTCGATGTATATTTAAATTTAGTTTTATATGTACCTTTCTTATGTCCCTTTTTAATTAAGTTTTTTTTATAAAAACAAAAACAGCACTGAACTGTCTGACTGAACAGAACAATGAAGTGAAAATTTAAAATTTAAGGTTATGGTTCAATACAGTTGCAAAAAGGTAGTGACTCGACGTCCTACCAACGTAAGAATAAGGAAATCTAAACAACGTTGGAATCAGTAAAACAGACGACGTTTGCATAACGTTGGAATAGGTCCTGAAACTGACGTCGGAAAACTCTATATTGTCCAACGTTGTAACTACGTTGTCCGAATCACCTAAAGATCACTTAGGCAAAAAAGGTTACAAGACAACGTTTATTCGACGTCGCAGAAGCTTCTACTTTGCTGTAGCACTAGTCCAACGTCGGCACAACGTTATAAAAACGTTTAAATTTATTTTAATACCCATGGTAGGGAGCTAACTATTTTTTGTAACTAATCCAACGTTGTGTTTAGTAAACATGTGGTCGCAAGTCGTGAAAATGCTACTTGGGACTTTAGAGACGCACGGGGTATATTCAACTTTTTTTATTTGTTCAGATAAAAAAAACGATACCCCGTAAAAATGTGGTTTGTTTCTAGAATTGTTAGTAATATACACACTGATATGATTAGAATTAATCAATCGTAATTTGTGTGTACAAATTTAAAATTACAGTTAATATAAATATGTTGATTATGGATAATGTAGGAGGTGGCAACACTGCAAGGTTTAGATACACCGTAGAGAAATCTGCAGTGGGATTCTGTAAGCTTCCTAGCAAGAAATTTCCTGTCTAAGCTTATGCTATTTGTATTAGAGGTGGGAATTCTAGTTCCTTGGGGGGAACTAGTTTCTTAGTTCTAGTTCCTCTAGAGGAATAGCTCCTTGAACTAAGTCTTTAGTTCACACTAGTTCCCGACTAACATGACATCCCCGTTGCTTGCTAATGGGGTTCGTTGTGAGTCAGAACTATTCACAGTATGATCTGTATATTTTTTATAATGTACAAAATATAACGAGATGTGTAATTGTGTAGGTTAAAATCATATAGGTAACTTTTTTATTGCAAATAAAAGGAAATTAAAAAAGAAACTCAAATCAGAGTTTAAAAAACTATATCACAAATCAATGGGAGCAAAAATTTTACGAAAAATTGCATTTTCCACACTTCAAGCTTTTTGTTTTTGTCTAAAAATTCAGAATATCTACTTCGTTTTATAAGATATTTCTTAATTTTAGGGACCTAAAGTAAAACATTTCCATAAAATATTTAAAGAACAAACTAAAAATCAAAAACAGTATCCACGACAATTTTCTGTGGTAATTACGCCAGCTGTGGCAATAGACATGGCCGAATCCATCGTCGTCACCTTGTGTTATATCTCGGATCTGTGAATCGGTGAACTAGTCCTTTAATTAGTTCCTTTAGGTCCGGATCCAATAACATACGGCTGGCACTCCCCACGCCTGCCTAGCATCAATCGCGCTGGCCGATCCGTACGTAAACTAGTCTTTTATTTAGTTCCTCTAGTTCCTTTAGGTCCGAATTCGATAACATACGGCTGGAACTCCCCACTCCTGCCTAGCATCGATCGCGCTGGCCGATCCGTATGTAAACTGTAAACTAGTCTTTTATTTAGTTCCTCCTATGAGTTCCACTAGGACCGAATCGGATAACATACGGCTGGCACTCCACACTCCTGCCTAGCATCGGGCTACGCGCGCTGGCCGATCCGTCGCAGTCGCATATTATTAGACAGTTAAAGCAAGGCACAATACTGTTACGTTTTTCGTCGGTTCCGTGTGGATAGAAAGTCACAATTTATTTAACACTAATTATCAAAAACAATAACGATTAAAAGACTTAAAGAACTATTTATAACTTATTTACAATTTATCTAATTATTTATCTAACAGAAATTTATTTTGAATTAGCGCGGCGATTGGAACTGTACGCGTCGATCGGTTATTTATCTCTGTCCTCCTTAGGCCCCGGCGTCTGCTTATATAGGAGAGAAACAGACAATCCAGATTTGTCTAGTCAATCCTTATTCGTTCTTAGAACGTCGGCATCGCTGGGCGTATGAGTCATAGGCGAGTGGCCAGGCCTAAGGCTGAGTTCACACGGCACGGGTCCGCAACAATACGTATACGTATCTCTCGACACGAAACCTATACGTTACGTCTGTCGTTGCGTTGTCGTGTAAACAAGAGTTAAAGCAAGTATTTTGACGTACCTAACGCAAATGGTACATTTGTAATTCTAAATTATTTTGTGAAACAATTTATTTAATTTTAAAACTGAAAATGGATATCTATTATTTCAATGATTCCACATTAAATTTATAAAAGTTCGAAACATGAAGAAAATTATAAATGGAAATTATTTTATTACAGAAAGTAGTCCTTACAACTTAAAATGCTCTTAGTAATAAAAAATATTGGAAAACAGAGACAGTTTTATGATTATTTGTTAGATTCCATCTTTAAGAATCCTAATATGGATTTTGACTAAGAACTAGCATTTAATTAAATAGATTCCAAAATGAGTTTATTATGATGCTTAATATTTTCATACTAATTTATTGTAATAAAATAGGCCCAGTTCTGTTACACTGGCCCCAAAATTTATGAAATAACTTAATTACTAGCCAGTTGTGGAAACGAGTTGTTTGTGAATTTGTACGTTCGGCATCATTCGGGTGAAAATCGAAACTCCTTCGGCTCGATGCGTTTGCACTTTGTACGTACGTAAAGGCACGTAAAGATACGTATCACGTATCCCTAAACGCAAGTGAATTTCTCACTGCGCAAGCGTACATGTCAAACGATACGTTTGCGTCTACGTCTTTGACCGTGCTTTAACTGTCTATTATATATCGGTCACAGTCTCGATCCCGGAATAGGTCCTGAGGAACTAGTTCTTTGAGAAACCAGGAACTAGCTCCTTTCATTCCGGGGTCGGAATACTTCATTGGAACTAGTTCGTTCACACCCAGTGGCGTAGCGTGGGTTAAGGGCGCCTGGGGCAGAGAGCCGCTAGGAGAGAGGTTTCCCGCTCCTACAAAATCCGTCCGCCGCCTTTATAACATGTTTTTGCCGCCCCGCAGGTACTTGGAGTGTCGATGCCCGAGGCGGACCGCCCCCACGTTGCTACGCCACTGTACGCACCTCTAATTTGTATACGATTGATGAGTCACTATAGACAGGAAATATGTTTACAGAATCGGGCCTCTGAAGATGGCTACACACACTACTGCAAGCTTTACAAGCATGCATGAACAATCTTTTGGTACAAGCATGCATAATTTACCTTCAATATAATTAAGCCGCCACACAACATGCATGCTTGAACAAACTTCAGTTTATGCCGCGAAAAAGAAGAAGGAAGTCCGAAGAAAAAGAAGAAGGAAGTCCGCGAAAAAGAAGAAGGAATCCTGAAGGCATTCGTCTTTTTAATAACGGCATCCTTATTGGCTTGGCAGTCAATTAATCTATACTTATTAAGTAAAATTTTGTATGCTGCATCCTTCTTCACCCTATCATGATATTCTGGTGATTTAATTCGCCAAAGACACGGCTGATATTCGTACGCGCGAATAAAATCTTCCAATAATCCTCGATTTTGTTCCATTTCAGATCGCTAGACACGATGGCGACGCGATGTACAAGTCATTTGAGATCACGGACTAAACTAATTGTTTGTACAAGCTGAATACATGTAGTATACACGTACCGTTTTGCTTGCGCAAGCATGGCTTGTATTGTTATTTCTGGGACACCCTGTATAAGAAAAACAATTATTTTTTTAAATTATTTTTTTTTTGCCAAAAAACTCATATGCGTGTTTCAGGGGCCGAAATATTCTAACAGTTAAAATATCTGCACTTATTTCTGGGACACCCTGTATACGAAAAACAATTATTTTTTTAAATTATTTTGTTTGATAACTTTTGCAGAATACTTTCAAAATATTGCAGGATCCGCCACTGTCCTCGAAGAACCGACTTTTCTAAAGAAACGCGGCTCTCCAGGTCGAAGCGAATTTTCTAATGCGACCAGTGACAGGCAACCGCCGCCCCCAGCCAACGCCATTGATTTATTGTTCGTATTTGTGTGTTTCGCGTAAAAAAGGCTTTCTGGCACGTCGCGGCGCAAGATTGATGCTTCCATTTGCAATCTGGATACACGGCCAGACCCTTCACAACTCCTACCAATCCCGAAAATGACACGCCGTTTTAGAATTATTTTTTTATTGTACATACTTTTTTTTTCGCTATTATATTTTAATAGTTTCAAATTAATACTATAAATAATATAAGAAAAATTAAATGCCATCTTTTATTAAGGGAATTTTAATGTTTGCCTCTTTAAATATTTAAAATAAAATTTCAAACAAGGTAGTGTCATCTACGGAAAAATAGCTGTACTACTACTATATTTGCTCCTTTGGCGACATCTATGAACAAGGTACAGAACTTTACACACAGAAAAAAAACTGGGCAGATGTCTATTGTGTGTGCGTCATCTATATCATAATATAAGGAAAATTAACTTTAAAAAAAATAATTTTAAATATTTTTGTTACAATGCTCATTAAGAGTATAATGGATGTTTTTCTTAAATATCCCTAATACAATTTATGATGTGTCCTCTACTGACAAGTAGTTGTATTACTATATTTCCTCCACCAGCGACATCTATAAACAAGGTACGAAAATCTTTACACATACAAAAAAGTTTTTATAGATGTCTACTGTGTTTGCGTCATCTACAGTATGTTCCCGGATTGTCTTTACAAGAGGAAAAACTTTATTATTGACATTTTGAGAAAAATGCATCAAGCTTGATTTTCATGCATCCGTTGTCCGACGATACGTTGATACGATATTAATTTTATTGGTAGAATTTAAAGACTTTCATTGGTTAGAAAATACCGCAGTTTTTAAATTTATTGCATTTTCATGCCTCCGTTTATCGGATATACGTGGGATATACGTTGGTGTTATTTTATACTTGCGTTTCCATAACGATTTTGCTATTTTAGTTATATTTTTTATTAAGGTTAGATTAAATTTGTCAAAAAAGTATCAAAACGACCGTTATCGTATGAACGGGTCCGTTGACGGGCTTTAAAATATTTACGGATGAAAGTGGCGCGAAAACACTATGACCAATCAGAGCACCGTCGGACCATCGTATCAACCGTGGTATCAACGTATAACGATTGCATGAAAATCAAGCTCTAAGGTCGATTCTGTGGGTCGATTTATAGATTGAAAACGGTGCGGTTCGACCCGGGTTCGACGTTGCGGTTGCGATTATTTCTATTGGCTATTACCACAGAATATCTAGCACACTCATCTACTGTTTTCAAATCAACTTCCACAAACGACTCTTCAGTGCTTCTACCCTGATATATTTCTTGAGAAGTGCTTGCTTTAATAGGAATGAATTCTTGAGAAGTGCTTGCCTCAGCTGAACCTAACCTCAAATTAAATTTATTAGTTTTTTAAGTAATGTAATTAAATAATTTAATAGTTTTTTCTCCAGTTAAGATGTACATTTATATTATTACCTTTTACATATAAATCTGGAACAGATCCGTGTTTTAAATTAGTTCTATTATGATGGGTTTTGAATCTGGAACCTTCTGAAAAATGTCGGTCACACACCCTGTAAGTTTTCCGTATTTTGGCACCTTTTGATAATAAATCTTCTCTTCCTACAACTTTAATCCATGTGTGAAGCAACTGAAAATGAAAAAAAAAACATTACTTTATCTGTGTTTCATTGTTTACTATATGCTTAACAATATATAAAGTTGTTTTTTGTTTATAGGTAAGGTTTAACTAAGGTTAACACTAAGGTTTAACAGCTCTATTCTACAATTTAAATCAACGAGCTTTAGAAACTCTTTAAACTCATTTGTAAAATAACATAAACATAGTTGGTTTAAAACGCTAGGGTGTTTTAATATTTAAGTAAATTTGAAAATGTATTGAAAAACGCTTACCTCCTCATCCTTTGGAAATAAGTGCATTGAGATTTCGTTACTCCGTCCTGGACAATTGGGCACACAACAATAAATCACCATTTTGACCAAATCAATGTTTGTAAGTGAAAAACAATAACGTCTATCGCGTGGAAAAATCAGTTTTCTATATAATACACTAATACTAGAACTACACTATACACTAATACTACAACAAAAACATATATACACTAAAGGAAAACAAATTTAAGTAATAGACAGTTAAAGCACGGCCAAAGACGTGGACGTAAACGTATCGTTTGACATGTACGCTTGCGCAGTGAGAAATTCACTTGCGTTTACGAATACGTGATACGTATCTTTACGTACCTTTACGTACGTACAAAACGCAAACGTATCGAGCCGAAGAAATTTCGATTTTCACCCGAATGATGCGGAACGTACAAATTCACAAACAACTCGTTTCTACAACTGGCTAGTAATTAAGTTGTTTCATAAATTTTGGGGCCAGTGTTACAGAACTGGGCCTATTTTATTACAATAAATTAGTATGAAAATATTAGGCATCATAATAAAGTCATTTTGGAATCTATTTAATTAAATGTTAGTTCTTATAGCCAAAATCCATATGAGGATTCTAAAAGATGAAATCTAATAAATAATCATAAAGCTGTGTCTGTTTTCCAATATTTTTTTTTTATTACGAAGAGCATTTTAAGTTGTAAGGACTACTTTCGGTAATAAAATAATTTCCATTTATAATTTTCTTCATTTTTCGATATTACTTTTATAAATTTAATGTGGAATCAATGGAATAATAGATATCCATTTTCAATTTTAAAATTAAATAAATTGTTTCACAAAATAATTTAGAATTACAAATGTACCATTTGCGTTACGTACGTCAAAATACTTGCTTTAACTCTTGTTTACACGACAACGCAACGGCAGTCGTAACGTAAGTTTCTGCGTTACGTGTCGAGAGATACGTATACGTATTGTGCCTTGCTTTAACTGTCTAATATTAAACACAAAGAAAACGGATTCGCAAAATAGACGCCGATATTCGAAAATGGAACGACAAATGACGCCAGACAAGACGCCAAGCCAAATGACACTCTTGACTTGACATCCATTGCCAACCTCAAGAATTGAATACCAACTTAAAATTTTGTTTAACAGCGCCCCTCGCGACTAGTTGAAAAACTAGAGAGTGCCCAGGCCCTAAAGTTGGTTAACTTTTGACGTAAAACGTCAACCGCAACAACAACGAAAAACGAAAAATTTATAATCAACAAAACATCCTGTGTATAAACGAACTTTTTACCGACCGTAACATCGGGCGTCGAACCGCAACGTTTTCAATCTATAAATCGACCTTTATTCATAAAAATTTTTGCTTCTTCTAAAATGATTAATCCCGTTTATACTTTTCCAAATTTCCATACCAACTACATAGATTGCATTTTTCTCATAATGTCAATAATAAAGTCTTTCCTCTTGTAAATATAATCCGGTGACACACTGTATATAGCAATATCCAGATTATTATAAGCAAAAATAACTTATAATATCGATTTTAAATATTGTTGTTACAATTCTCATTAAGAAAATAGTAATATTAATGTAATTTCTCTTCATATTGACGCTATTTAAGCTTGAAAATTCGTTAATTATTGTTAAAAATCTGTCGTTTTAGCATAAATACTACAATAAATACTAGCAGAAGTTCTCTACTGATAAGCAGCTAAAGTATCTTGACAATAACAAAGAGATTTATATTTCTCTTTTATACCGGGTGCGTCTCAAAAGTGGCTCACCCTTGTAACTTTTTTATTTTTTCAGATAAAAAAATCGAGATTTTTGGTATATTAATATATGACATAAATTATATAGGATTGACTGACGTATTCAATTGTTTTCTGTTATTTCCTATTTCACCGGAAGTGACTACAACTTTTGATTTTTAAATGGTACCACAGAATATCTTGCGTAGCTAGATATTCTGTGCTACCATATGTGATGGTACCCTCCGTGTTTTGTTGCTTTATTCGATAGAAAATGACACCCTAAATAGAATGACATATCATATGTCAACTTTTGACATTTTCGAATATGGTTATTTGAAATTGAAACATGCGATTCATTACGACTATTTGACTCGAAATACCAAAAGTGTGTGGTATCAAAAATTATTTGTAAAAAAATAAAGAAACAGGAAGTGGCCGAAAAGAATTGAATACGTTAATCAATCCTAATTTATGTCATATACTAACATACCAAATCTCGTTCTTTTATCTCTGATAAAATAAAAAAGTTGTAGGGGTGAGTCACTTTTCAGACGCACCCGGTATACCGAGCAGCATCTATGAATAAGATTTGTAGCTTACAGATATTTTATTATAATTAGTGAAGTGACTCGCTAGACAATAAAAGATTCCTTGTCTAGGACTCCTTAACTGTGCTCCTGGATTTAATTTGAATTTCTCAGATAGAAATATATTTCTGATGAGGCAAAGGCATTACTTACATAACAAATGGTAATAGCACAAATTTGTCATAATTAATAGTTTCATTTAGATTAAATTATTTACTAATAAAATAAATTACAATTATTACTTATAATTTATTACAATAATTATTATATAGATTTCACGAAGTCTGGTCAATGAGACAGATTTCGACAGACAAACTGTGAATTAAATTCACTACTATCATTGTTATCCTATCCCCTTGTTTCTAACTCAGCAACAAATTTTGTATCAAGAAACTATAATGCACAAATAGAATATAAATTAAAAAAAATTGGGTTAATACCCGATTGTATACCGGGTATTTATTTGAAAGTGGTTACCCTTATTAACTTTTCATTTTTTCAAATAAAAAAACGAGATATGGTTAAGTTAGTATACGACATCAATCACTATTAACTGACTTCAATGACTTTCGGTCACTTTCTTTTTCACCACAACTTTTAATTTTTAAACGGTACCCTCGCTATTTATAAAACGTTTGATGAATAGCATGTCAAGTTTTGATATGTCTTAAAAAACATGTAGGGAAATTTCAATTTAGTAGTCAAGAGCTAGTATTCGAGAAAGTATTTTAAGACGTCTGGCTCTTTGATATATCTTTTAACAAAAGTTTTTTTAATTGAAAATGTCAAAACTTGACATGTGATGTCATTCTATTCAGAATCAAATAAAGTAAAAAAATACCGAGGGTACCATTTATATCAAAAGTTGTAGATATTTCTGGTGAACCAGGAAGTGACAATGAATGACTGAAAATAAATGAGTACGTCCATCAATCCCGATTTATATCATACACTAATAATATACCAAATTTCGTTTTATATCTGGAAAAAAAAAAGTTATAGGGGAAACTTCTAACAGGTATTGTAACTTGTAACAGGTTTTATTCTATAGCTATAGAAAAAGCCATTAAAAAAACAAGAATAAAAAAGATGATATTTTATTTCAAAAGACAATAATTTCGCCTCAAAATTTAATTTAATCTCAAAACATTACAGGCGATTTACTTTCATTTATAAATATACCAACAATTTTGAATGATGCCGTATAGCGAGAAAAAAATTTATATATAAATATACAACACTAAAAGCACAATACAAAAATAAAGAGCATAACTTAACTGATAATTTGTTTCTCAACTTTCGGCGGTGCGGGAGACCCGATATTGTGATTACATCCGGCGGAAAGTCGACCTCCAGCCTCATTGCTGCTTACACTGTTCCTGGTTCTTGCCGGTGTTTGTATCCGAATCTCCTTCCTCTTCTTCATCGTCTTCATCCTCCTCCTCTTCCTCAAAGTCTTCCTCGTCTTCGAGACCCTCGCCCGTGAAGAAGAGCACAGCCCTGGGCACCACTCTCTCTCTGATGTAGTGACCAATCTCGAAATCGCTGGTCAACAAATTACGGACGTCCTCGTCGACGTCTTCGTCCTTGGTGCCTTCTGGAATGGTGGGCGGGGTGAAGAAATTGAAGAAAGAGTCGTTCTGGACGGTCTTGGTGACGACTCTCACCACGCCGCGGCTCTTATGTTTCTGCTTCTTCTTCACTGTCTTCACCGACACGTTTTTGCCCTTGTTCCAGTTGATCGTGCAGCCGGTACATTTGAAGATTTCGGGGCCTTCGAAGCCGAACGGGTCGTCATCGTCGGGCACGCATTTCATGAGGTATTCCTTGGTTAGGACTTTGTTGGTGAAGTATTCGTTAGAAGAGAAGTGGAATTCCAAACTAAAGCTCTGTAAAAAAATATTCTTGTTATTGCACTATACAGTAGGATGTACCACAAAAAAATATATTTTTCTTTTTAGTTAGCGTCAAAATTCATTTAGCATGATGAAAAAAAATTCTGGTAAAGTTTGACCTTTTAATATTATAAATATTAAAAGATATTTTAAGAACCGTCTATTTCCCACAAGTAACACGGGGAAACATTTTTGTTTGGAATTTTATTGGGTTCTAACAAATCAGTGTTTTGTAAAAATCAATACATATGCTTGCAGGAAATTGAACGGTCTTCAAAAAAAGTCTTTGATATGAATTTTCATTTAATCGACTCGTTTGAAAGTTATTAAAGGTTAAAGTTCAACTTCAAATTGTATAACTTTCCACAATTTTTTATATTTTCTCACCAAATGGCTCAAAAACATAAAATATGATATTTTAGGTGTTTGAGCCTTTATTTCATGATAAAATTTGATAGTTTATGTTCATGAGCCAATATTTCGTTATTTCGTGATAAAATATAAAAAATTGTGTAAGTTATCATATAGGATTTGAAGTTGAATTTTAATCTTCAATAACTTTCAAACGAGTCGACTAAATGAAAATTTATATCAGACCTTTTTTGAAGACCGTTCAATTTTCTACAAGAATATGTATTGATTTTTACCAAACGCTGATTTGTTAGAACGCAATAAAATTCCAAAGAAAAGAAATTGTTTCCTCGTGTTATTTAAATGGGAAATAGAAAATCACGATGAGGCACCTCTTCATATTAATAGTAAAAGCTCAAACTTTACCAGAATTTCATCACCCTAAACGATATTTTCACTGTAACTGAAAAGAAAAAAAAATATATTTTTTTTTGGTGCACCCTACTATACAGGGTGGTCCCTTGTTAAAAATAAAGGGTACTTTATTATACAGAGCGTCCCAATATTCCGTTGACATAGAATTACTACGTATTTTTGGAATCAAAATAAGTTCATCGGACACAATTAACTTCTATACAAAAGTACCTCGTTTGTCCGCTAGAGGGCATGACTATATTTTGCTAAACATTTTTAGAAATCAGCTTCAGAAAAATATTTCTTTCCTCAAAAAGTTTGTGCGGTTCGCGCGTTTTTTTTACAGGAGACAAAAAATATAATAGATACTAGAAGGACCATAGGAAATAAAAATCGGTCGTCGATAGAGTCAAAAATATTAATGTAGGGTGTGTATTACTAAAATTTATGTAGGAGTGGGGGTAATTTTCACCTTTCCTGTACTTTTTCTTGATTTTTTTGTGAAAGGCAAATGTAGTTAGCACAACATAGACATCCAAAATTTAATTCAAATCGGAATAACGGTTCTTAAAATATCTAAAAAAATGTGTTTATTTTTAAAGCTTGATTCCCATCTAACGGATAAACGAAGCACTTTTGTATAGAGGTAAATTGTGTCCTATAAACTTATTTAATTCCAAAAATATGCAGTATTTCTATGTCCAAGGGATATTGGGACACCCTGTATAAACGTTGGGTAAGCCAACTATTGTTTTAAAAAAGGAAAGCGATAGAGTAATGAAATTTATGAGAATGTTTCTGAAAACAAATTATGACATATTCTCTAAGCTTTTTTTCTAAGGGGTTGATATAGTCTACCAATATTATACTTAATAAGCAAATTTGAAGAAAAACTTGGAAAATATCGACTTTGAAAAAAAAGCTTGGTAGCCTGGTATATTTAGAAAGTTTTCCTATATCTTTTTCATATAACTTACAAATTTGAAAAAAAAATAATAAGAAAATAAAGGCGTCAGAGGATCATCCGCTCATTGAACTATTATATGATTAAAACTCAAAGTTTTAAACATCTGCTGCTGATGCTAACATGGTTAGCGAAACGCTAGTCCAGTACAAAAGTAAAAGTGTTTTGGTGTATTGTGGTGAATTAGTGTTTCATTGTGCTGTTGTAACACTACAGGTTCCAACCCCCAACTGTAATGTCAGTTATTAAACATGCTGTAATATGTTATTTCTTGTAAACGTAATTATACTGTAAAGTCGAAAAAAAGACGGCGTCCAGTTGGCTGGGAAATGACGATCGATGACATTTCCTATATAAATTTACAAATAAAATGACAGCGATCTTCACTTCACACTCGCTGACGCCGATTTTTTTCGACCATATTGTATTTTTTTAAGTATAGGCAAAAGGACCGTTTTGTTGTAAAACTGAAAACTGTCCTGAACTAGAATTAAGTTCAGATCAAGTAAAACGGACCGTCTTTTCATCGATAGCCAAAGTTTAACTTGATAAGTTTTAATAAGAACTGGGAGTTCTAATAAGACTGACAGGTACAATATTAATGACATTTACCATATTATTTTACAATAAAACCACAGTAATCTTCATTTCCAAGCCACCTCTGACGTCGTTTTTCAAACCAAACAAGACACAAGTATTACGAAGTATTTTTTTGAAGTGAAACTTCTTTACGCGCGCTGGCAGTCCACGTGTTTATCAAAAATATTGATATTTTAATACAAATTTTGTGAGAGTGAGGGTGCATCCACACTATCCTAGAAACGGCGTATCGGCGTAACGACCTTGAAGAGATTTCCAGTAATTCTATTGGCTAAAAATTTTGACAGATAAAATTTCTGACAAATGAACTTTTCAGCCAATAGAATTACTGAAAATCTATTAAAGGTCGTTACGCCGATACGCCGTTTCTAGGATAGTGTGGATGCACCCTGAATCAAATTATAATGCGTAAAAAGCTATTTGTGGCATGTAAAAACTATTTGTTACGCGCAAGAAACTATTTTTTACGTGTAAAAAACAATTTGTTACAGGTAAAAAACGATTTGTTACACGCAAAAACTATTTTTTTTGGGCTCAAAAAAATATTTTTTATTTATTAGTTTTTCGACATTTCAGACTACACTTTTTCAAACATGTCCTTCAAATCCTTCAATTTAATAGCAGTTACTAAGAAGTTTTACTTCAAATATGCGAACATAGTGCATACACAATTTTTTCTGTAATTTTAAAGTGTTTTCTTTACTAAATAAGGGTTTCATTCAAAAACATTGTGTTTGTCAACAGTGGGTAATTATATTTAAGATAAATTATGTAAATGTTTAAGTTCAACAATATGAAAGCATGGTCTCAGTAACCATGGCAACCAGTAACTGGAATAAATTAAGAATAATTTAAACTTCTCCAATACACATTACTCATGCTTGTTATGCATAAATGATTCAATTTAATTTAGGTACCAAAAGTTTTCCACTCAATTTGTAATAGATCTGTCAAATTTTGACACTTAGAAGTAGTACTTTTCCAAACATTACCAAAATTCCAACGTTAAGAAATATTTTTACATGTTAAAAAGAGATTATTTTAAAACTGTTCTGAAAAGAATATTACAAATTTAGACACCTTCATTAAAAATCATATTTAAATCACAAAATTTCTAGACATATTATTGGAATACTATTAAGAACAAACTTGTTTTGTTATCACAGAAATGCAATTTCTGTAAGAAATTATATTTGAATGTTTCTAACTGCCAAAATTAAAATCTACTTAACCACAAGGTACTTTCCAATAATAGGTAGGTGTTTTCATACAAATATAAACTTTACATAATACAGTGTAATTATATTTTATAATTTGATTAATTACTTCATTAATTATTATTCTCTCTTGCTCAATTTCATTAAATCACAATTTGTAAATAAATGTGAGTAATATATTTTTCAAAAACTTCAATTAAGAAGAGGATCATATTGATACATGATAATATATAAAAAAATACTTTGACTGACCTTTGTTTTTCAAAAACATTCAGATAAATTACATCAATTATTTAAGGACTGAGATAATCAAAATAGAAATAGAACTATTTAACAGTTACAACTTACCATAGGCTCTTCCTTGCAAAATGTTTTAATATCTGTGAGATGTTCTAAAATAGGAAAATCACAGGGCTGGACCATTTCAGACAACAAACTACAATTCCTGAATATGGTCAACCAGAATTCTGGAATGCCTTTCACATTATCTGGATCTTCTTTAGCTTTTGCTTCTTTCTTCTCTTCATCAAGCTTAGCTTTTTCTTTAAGTGCATTAGGCAAATCTTCATCGTCGGAGGGCCACTGAGATTCGTCTTCTGTAGGCTCGTATGAACCATTTACAATAGTATTTCTCTTTTCGTATAAAGGAACATATAATCTATGATACTTGCACTCTAAATATTGTACCTCCTTGAAGAATTCAGCTTCGATATTTGTGGCTTCGAGCTGCATCTTTTTCAAAGCTTTAACGCGACGCTTTACGGATGGGGGCAGTGAGGCTAGCAATTCAGAACTCCGTTGAGCTGCTTTGATAGCGGCCATAACGCTGGGAAAATCCATGTTTTTTTTATGACTTTCGTCCACGTCTTCTTCCTCCTCAACAGATTCCAAATCGTCGGGACAGTCGCCGGCTTGATCGTGATCAGTAGTCATTTTCGGATTATTCTTTAACTATAAGATATTAATTAAATTTTAACTAAATAAAACCTTAAAAAGAACAAAGAATATTTGCTATATACACGTGTGCTTGCCAAAAAATGTCAAAAGCAACAATCGAATCACCATGCAAAAAAAATATAACGAAACAAGATAAAGCCTACTTTTATGAAAAATATAGTCTAAATAAAAGCATTATTCACAATAATTAAATAAAATACTGCAGTTTTTCTCACCTAGGCTAGCTAAAAACCAACGACTGTCACACCTGCACTGTCGACAAATCGGCGGCAAAAATAAAAAGAGAATAAAATTTGCAGATGGAGGATGAAGCTCAAATCAAAAAACGTGGAAATTTCGTATCATCTCGTTCATCCTCGGGATGACCACAGAACAACAATGAGGTGCTGATGTCACTCAGTAGCAACAGATATTAAATGAGAAATAGTTATTTATTATTTTTATCTTAATGTAATACTTTAATCATTTATTGTAGTTAAATATAAATATGTTATATTTAAATTTAATAACTTAATAAAGACGGCAAGAACATTGTTATAAAAAATCAAATTGTAGCAACAGTTTCAAAAAAAAAATTAATCGCTCACTGTGATTGTAAACAGTATCTGTGGGCAATAAAAATACAGATTTAATTTGAAATTTTGAATTTTGAAAAGTTTTTTTTAGAGGTCATTGGAATTTGGAATAGTCTGTCCAGTGCCTTCTATTAAAAGATCTTTTAATAGAAGGCACTGGTCTGTCCAACGAGAGAACACATGAAAGTGACAGATTAACAATGTATTAAAAAAAAACAATACAATTTGAGAATATATACCAATATACCTATACCTACTTACTTCAATTTTATAGATTTAAACATAATTTAAAACTGTAAATGGATGAAAAGGGTTGAAAGAAATAATAAAACTCATGAAACCTTATATTTGAAGTTATCTTAACTTTATTGTGATTTTGTAATACAATATTGTAACAAGATGGATTCCTTACAGTTTTATTATCGCTAGTATCACAATATCATATAGTTGGGCGTTTTGTCTTATATTTAAACTAAAAAAAATCTTATCACTATATAACAATTTTTGGGGTATATCTAAGTTCTGGAATTCACCATTAAATAAGTATTAGGTTTACAATATATACCTATAGGTCATATAGCATCATAAAATTATTTTTGAAATAAAATTAAGTCACTGAGTGAGATTCTTCTGGTGAAAAATTAAGTACTTTCATTAAATTATAGATAAGTACTGGGATAAAAATACCATAAGAGAGAAAAAAACGGCGTCAGTGTTGGCTTGGAAATGAAGATACCTAGTAATTTTATATGCAAAAATATATTTAATTTCAAAACCAAATTGATGCCGTTTTTTTCGATCATAGTGATATAAATAAAGTTCAATTGTTATGATCAAGTGACGGTTTGAATAAGTTACAAAACAATAGGACAAACAATCCATTAAAAATGACCCTTTGGAAGACAAATAGAACTATCCAGTCTCATTTTTTTAAACCATCCATATATTCAACCATTTTGTTTAGAGAAAAGATTATTAAGAGAAGTCTTTATTCCTAATAAGGATATTGCAGCATAATTTCTTTAAAGTTATTAAAATCACACTAGGCTTTATAATAAAAACAGAGTAAAATAAAAGACATAAAAAGAAAAGAAAATGTACAACTATAACTAAAAAGAAGTGAGCTTTGAATAAGAACAATGTACAACACTCAAATAATCTCCAGATCAAGAATTACATCATTACATTTCTCAATAGAGATAAAAAATAAAGAGATGCACTTTATAGTAACATTTAGAGAGAGTTTAGCTATAAGAATATTATACTATTGTATTATTATAATATTGTATAAAGTCAGTTCAACAAGCCAAAGACTTTGACAAACCAAAAAATGACAGAATCATGTACTCTGACTTCTGAATTTAAATGACAGAAGTTAACTGCCATTGTCATGTGTTTTTAACTGAACAAACTTTACAAAAGAAACAGCATATGATTTTGACTAAGCATAGCCAAAAAAAATACAGAAAAATCAATGTCTAATTAAAATGACAGAAAACAACACTTACTGGACTCTACTTTTGAATTTCAATAACATAATAAGTAGCTGGCACTATCATCTATCCCATAATCGAAAAAAAACGGCGTCACACTGACTTTCGGAATGGCAATAGATGATATTTAGTCTTGAACCGACCTCTATGTATAAAAAAAGAACATAAAAATTTGTACAAAATATTAAATTATTAAAATATATAGGTAGCAAACTTACAGATACAAATCTATTACAAAAAATATTTTCCTGAATGTTACAACAAACCTTATATTCTTTTGTACCGTATGATCGAAAAAAAACGGCGTCAGTGATGGCTATGAAATGAAGATCGCTGTCATTTTATATGGGAAATGTCATCGATGTTCACAGCCATCGCTGACGCCGTTTTTATTCGATCATACGGTATTTAAATATTAATCTTTGACAAATGTAATGTCAATTATTAACTGTATCCATCAACACATATTCATAGATTCGATTGTCGTTTCAAAAGCCAGTAAGACGCTATTTTTTTATCATACTGTATTCTCTCAAATATACTATAGACATACAATACCGGGTGTTTCTCAAAAGTGACCCTATATCTTTTTTATTTTTTCGATTTAAAAAACGGGATTTGGTATGTTAGTATATGGCATAAATGAGGAATGATTGACGTATTATGTTCATTTCCTGTTGCACCGGAAATGACTGAATGATTTTTTTAAACAGTACCCTCGGTATCTTTTACTTTGAGAGATCATGACATTTTGAATGACATATCATAAGTCAACTTTGACATGTTCAATTAAAAAATAGCAATTTAAATTTCAATCTAGAGTGCCATAGCCATACACCTAACAATAATTTAACTTGAAATACCAATATGTGGTATCAAATTATTAGTAAAAAATGTTTTTTTTGCAAATATGCTAATCAGCCACCCTCGTTCCATTTGAAAAAATTTAGTTATGATTAAAATTACGATTTCGGAATTTTTCAACCGACCAGGAAGACACGAAGAACATTAGACGATCAAATCTATTTTTCCAAAGCTCCTTGATAAAAAAAATATGGTTTTAACACAGCCATGGCACGTTAAATTGATATTTGAAATGTTATTTTTTGAAAAAAGATGACATAAGAAAATGTCAAAAGATGACATATTATGATGTCATTCTATTCATAATGCCAGTTTCTATCATATAAAGTAAAAAACCCCGAGATACTATTTAAAAATAAAAAGTTGTAGTCATTTCTGGTAAAACCGGAAGTGACCGAAAGTAATTGAATACGTCAATCAATCCCAATTTATGCCATATATTAACATACCAAATTTCGATTTGAAATCTGAAAAAAAAATAAAAACTTTAATGGGTAACCCACCTTTGAGAAACACCCAGTAGATATATATATTTTTAAAACAAAATTCTAATAAACTCTGTAACACATGGTATATAAAAGATACAACAAACAAACATTTATCACAAAATACATCTCTTTTTTGTTTTATTACTCCGAAAATATCTCCAAATTAAAAAAAAAATAAACACCAAATTAAAAAACAGCGCAAAATTTGTATTTAGAAAAAACGAAGTGTATATAAATATACGATTAAAAAAAGATACAAAAAACAGTACCAGACTTCAAGTATTATTATAAATTTACATATACAAACTAAGAATAAAATTACCCGCTGGTTCACGAAGAAGACTTGTCCTTCTTGTGACTCTTTTTCGCAAAATTGAACAATTTCCTTTTTTTCTTTTTACCCTCTACCTCTTCTATCACCGACGAATCTGTCGAACATATGTCGTCTTCGATAGACACGGCCTTTTTGGGCGGCACAGCCGTCTCCTGTATGGCTTGGGCTTGTAAACGAGGGGCTGAAGTCGTTTTGGGACCCTCGAAAAAACCATCGGAGGAGGAGTAGACTTTGGTTTTGATTGGGGGCTCCTCCACGTGATGGATGTCCTGGGAGAATGCCCTGGAGGTGATCTTGGGGGCCGGCGGTTTCACGTTGATGTTCGATTGACTGGCCGATTTTCCGTGGTTGGAGTTGGCGATTGTTTGGATGGGTTTTAGAACAAGGTCCTCCGGACACGAACTAAAAATACAGAATTTAATATATCTTTCCCAAGTAGCACTTTTAGAAACAAAATCGAAACAAAATCTCTGCTGAGAAACATTGCGAAACAGTTTTGCCACATTTTTGATACATATATTTCGTAACATAAATCGCTTTTTGTTTCGAAATATTTTACCAAAATATGGTTTCGCTACATAAGCTATAACAATAAAGATCTTAGTGTCACAAATTTTTTGAAACTTTTAAGAAACAGATGTGACTCACATTTACAGATTTCGTACCTATTTTGTGCCTGAAAAGTTTCCATAGTTTATTTGATATTCTGTCATATATGAGAACATAACCTTACTTTATTGTTTTTATTTTATTCTGCAGTTTTTGCATTTAAGCATTTCTCAAGTTTTTATAGTACTATATTAAAAAAGCAGAAGGAAGGACATATTATATGGTGAGTACAATACAGATGCGATTTTATAATATTATTTGTTATACGCATTACAGAGATAATTTTTTTAGGAATAAATGTAACAACAGTTACTACCCATACCCAACATGAGACCGAAGAAAAATGTTACCAGCAAACGTTTTTTTCTCTTTTTTACACAATGAAATATATGATTTAATTATTTTGACCACAAGTTTTGATTGGCGTTGTTGATAGGTGACGAGGTCGAAATTTCTACACAGATTAACTAAATCGAAATATTTTGGAAACAAGGTTTCCATTTATAGTCGATTCATTTTCGAAACACGAGTTTCTATCTTTTTAGACACAAATATGATATAATGTAGATGATTTGTGTTCGACTCCATGTCAATTTTAGAAAATAATGAATTAAAATTCCGCCATGTTGGCTAGTGATAGCGTTTTTAACTAAAAATATATGTTTTTATCGGTTGTTGGGCTTTTAAACTCATAAGAACACGTTCTACTTACATTGATTTATATATTTTTATTTCCAGAACCATGATATAGAAATAAAAATAAAAATCTATATTTCAAACAAAATTATTTTGTGGCATCAAATAATGATATATAGAAGGAGCATTAAGAATATGAAACTACATTATTAAATTAAACGATGAATTTGCTTTTGCCAGACATTTTTTGTCCAGAAAAACCTAAAAACAAAGATTTTAAGAAAAAATAATATGGCGGAGGTCGACATTGCTGATGGTTATTTTCATTTTGAAATCCACACACAAGACAGACTATTTTAGTTTGGTATTTTTTTTATTTTAGTATTTCACATTTAGAAACAGTGGCTGCTGAAAACGGGGACATCTTGGACACAAATTGCAGAAAATGTTTCGAAACATTTTCTCTAAAAGTTTTGATTCCGCATCTAAACATTTCAGAAAACGGCTAGTGCCACCATATTGGAAACACGTGTAATAAAGCCATATAAAATATATAGGTAGGTTTCGAAAATGTTTCCTATTTGTGGCATACTGTTTCCATTTTATGTCAAGAAACAGACACAATTATGAAACATTACCCAACATGTGTCCAAAAATGCTACTTGGGTTACTAGACCTAGTGACCTACTTGTAGTATTTTGAAAAAGCTCCATAACAGGATTTTTAAATGAGGTTTTTACTCCAAGATTTTTAAAAAACATGCAGTAATGATATATACTATGTTTTTTCTTCTCAGGTAAGATTTCCACAGACAATGACAGAAGAAAAGCAGATGACGTCCCATGCCAATCTATTTATTTTACTAAAAAAAGTTTCTAATATTTTTTAAGTTAACTATGGATGGGTTTAAATAGAAATCCGTCATGCGTCGTCTCTTGTTGTTTTTAACCAGTTTTATTGGTTTATTTCAAAAATAATAGATCATATTTCAATTTTATTGGTTTGACGAAACGATATGAACGATAAACGGACGCCGCGCCGATGCGTATGAACAAAGGTATGAACCAGTGTGGCCAGATTTGCGTGAACGCTTGTCGCTAAATTGCCTGTCAGATGTCGCCCAAAATCGCAATGTTGCCAGCGCTTCATATATCGCCCAAAATCGCAATCTTGTCATTATACAGGGTGTCCTAGAAAGAAGTGCAAGTATTTTAACTAGTAGTATAGTTCAACCACAGAAACACGCCTATGATTTTTTTTTGCGAAATTTTTTTTTTGAAAATTCCAAATTTTTTGAATTTTTTTTGGGATTTTTTTTTAGTTTTAATTTAAAAAATAATAGTTTCTTGATAATATGGCAACATAGGTAGTAGATTAAATTTACAAGCAAGAAAATCCAGAAAAGATCCAGTGGTTCTCGTGGTTTTTAGCAAAAAAAATTTTTTTTGGAAATTTTCAAAGTAAAATAACTCCGTTAGTTTGGACCTATTTGAAAAACGATAAAGAGAAAATATCTTCCTTTCATCGAGATCTACCACCCCTTAAAATACTTGCACTTATTTCTGGGACACCCTGTATAGCCAAAATCGCAAATTTTTAGCGTTTACGAAAAATGCGTTTTAGATATTAGGTAAGTATCACTGTACTGTAATAAAGTTCTGATAACCTATCTACTTTTTACTTGCACGCCTTTTTAATACGAAATAAAATTGGTTCCAAAATACACAACTGTTAATATTTTATTTAGGTATTACAAACACTAAATACATAGGTATTTTCTTTATAAACAAATAATAAGCCAATTATAATATTACTAAAAAATGTCATTCAAAATTTCAAAAACCTCATCATCTGGAGTGTCTTGTAAATTTTTATGCATATCGGAATTAAACCTAGACAACATATTTTTAGTAGGTTCAAAACTTTTACAGCATATATTATTTATTAAAAAATGTAAGGTATTTTATTTGCATTATTGAATTTAAAAGTAAGAGCATCATTTTATTTCTGATTTTGGTTTTTACAATGTCCATTACTGAACAATATCTCTCAACAACTGGATTTGAGGAAGGTAAACTCAACATTCTAAACGCAAATAATGTCAAATCTGGAAATAGTAATTCTCCTGCAGGACTTTTAAGTGTCTTAAAAATGTGTGTAACTTTCTGCCAGATATCGATTACGACTAAAGAAAAACTAATTCCCTTCTATAAAAGGAGGGAAAAATCGCGAAAAAAGTCGCAGAGTTTTTCAATTTGTAGCCCAAAAATCACTTCGCGATTTTTTAGAAAAAATGGTCGCAAAAAGATGTAAAAAGTAGCCCAAATTGCGATAAGTCGCCCGAACTCGCCTTTAGGTTTTTGAGGTTTGTCAAAGTCTTGCCAAATTATAGGTTATAATTTTGTGTCAACTTATGTCAAATATCTGCGTTTTGGAAGATGATGCATTTTGATTCGTGTTATTACGTGTGTTTTGTGTCTATTGAAGTCAAGTGGAAAATTAACTGTAGACCCAGAGCCCAGTTTATAGTTAATACTCGCTGCCCAGGCAGAAATTCTTATACACCAATAAAGTTACCATCAATAAAGTTTGTATACCATCTCGTCGTAGATAAGTGTATCTCGTATATGGTACAAGAATCATACTAAACATATACTAAAAACTGGAGTAGCTGTAAAATATCGACATCACACGATAGGTAAATAATGGATCTTAGTACTGCAGAAAAATAACGTCAAAAGAAGGTACTGGTTTTAAAAAAAAATAAAGTTAATTAATCAACCTTTAAGGTATAAAATTTGGTAAGTGTTATTATTAATAAAATACGTTGTTTTATTTATGTTGTTTTATTTATTCCTGTGGAATATTACAAATTTGTATTTGTACAAAGTTATATTGATAAATATAATAAATGCGGGAAGTTTCTTGAGAAAGTTTTTTTTTATATTTTTTTGGTATGTGATGTTTTGTTATTGTTTGTTTCGTATTAACACATACCGTTTTTTTAATAAAATAACTCGATTACATTTGGTCAGTTTTATACAGTTTTTTTTCTCAATATTTTGAAGTAATCACTTATTAGTCAAATTTTAAATATATTAATTTCCTGCTATGCGTTCAGTTGTACCAACTTATTTCTTTGTAAAATAAAATAAACTACTTTGAAATCTATCACTGTCAAGGAAATACCGTCATTTTTAAACTAAATTTTCAACACATTTACAGCACATTCAAAATTTTAATTCAAAAGTAGGTAAATTGCAATGACTCAAGAATACAAGGACCAATAACACCCAAGAACAAATTGTTACTATGTCCCCAAACAGTGCCGTGTCACATATTTTTCTTAACTTAGCTGCTTGAGAGATATTTATATTTTTGATAAATATTTTGACTACGCCTATGGTGTATGCTGCTTATTTAAGTGGTATCATACTAATTAATTATAAAAAAACGTATTAAAAATTTTACAAAATCAAGTACATATAATAGCAGGAAAACAATTATCAAATTTGATAAGAAAACGCTAAAAAGGTGGAGTGGGCTGTTTATTTACCTATGAAACGTAACTCCTGGCTCTTTCTTATCGTTACGGATTTTACATTTAAAAGCTGAACAAATCACTATTATAATAAAGTTTATACAAAGTTCACTACACACAAGAAACTATTAAAATCGCTAAAATTACCGCCTGGTGACATATCCCATATCTCCAAAAAAATGGCGTCTACAACACAAATTCTGCTCCAGACCGTATATGGTCGTTACGTGTCCTTGTATTCTTTAGTCGTCTGTCGAAAACTTCCTTAACTCGCTGGATAGACTTTAGGCCACATTTATATAAAATCTAACAACTCTAGCTACTTCAATAAGTACCTACTCACCCTCCGCCTATCTGAAACGTCACAGTACTGGCACCCACAGGCCTGGACTCGTTAGCGTTCTCATCCTGTTTTCCATTCTCGCTTCCCGAAGATTCCTCTTCCCGCCAAGACGTTGACACATGATGATGGTGGTTATTTTCAGTAAAAGACCCTGAAGCACAGAGAGAGAAGTGTCGCTTTTGGTTGATTAGAACTAATTTAAAATAAATTAATTGCTTGACTGAATAACTCGGTTTTATAACAAAACAAATTCAGTACAATAACAACAAATTTATTTGTCTGTATGTACATAAAATATATCAGTCGCATTTAATTGGACTGTGTGTTAATTGATTGGAAGCGTAAATAAATTCGGCATTGTTGACACAGAAAAATATTACGCCAGTCTATTACAGATATATTTTAATATGGTCATCTTTATTTAACCGGCTTTAATTGCATATTGCCAATTTTGGACATGCTTAAGTTCCTTTTTTATTATATTAACGTATTTAATACTCAGAGTGATAAAAACATAAGTCGATATGAACATTATATGTCTTTGGCCACTTATTGTTTTAAGAAATATCACAACACATAAACAACTGAAACATATTAACATTAAAAAAAAACAACAGCAAGTAAAACTTCTGTACACTTACAAAACATTCACAGAACAGAAAAGCTTAAAAAATATGATGTTTGTAAATTAATTATTACTCTAAGCGTGATCAAACAAAACAACGATTAAAACTGTTGACACAGAAGCTCGATTTTGTTTGTAATTACGCAATGCTTAGCTGTTTAATGGCCAGCAATAAATATGAAATATATATTATTTCTCATTGCTACAGGTATAGGACCAAAATAAAATAACGTGACATAATTCAGATTTTATTACACAGGACACCAACAAAATAATCAACACTATTAGGACGCACTCACTAGCAAAGGATGTTGATAAAATATTAACAATCTTGTTGTAGACTCAACTTTTTTAAGTTTTTTTAGTGGTATTATTAATTAAGTAACTTATCTAAAATAAAAAAGTAGAGTTTATAACAAAAACATGCGATTGTATTTGAGAAATAAGTAAAATAAGACAGGAATAGGTATATTAAAGCTACGGCATGCACTGGACAAGTCTTCTATTCTTCATAGAAATGTTAAAGCAGTTCAAATTTAACTATATAGCTTCCTATATGCAACAACTTAAAATGTACTGGCCCTTATTATCAGTTTTAAAACATATGAAAATATACACGATGATTCACCGCGATGACATGTTACACGTTTATGGAGAACCAGTGATGGGGTTTTGTTAAAAATTTGGATTTTTGTATATAGGCACCTACTTCATCTGCCTAAATTATTTCTAGCACTACAGTGTTGCCGCTTCATACTAAAAATGGTAGCATCTTTGTTCTTTTAAATGGAACACCCGGTATATTATTACATTTTTCGAAACTACTTTCATATCTCATAATTTTTCTACTATATTAACCTATAGACATGTGCACAATTGACAAAAACATGAATAAGCGTTGGTTGAATCATAAATACCGCATATTGAAAGTTGAAATTTGGTCTATAAGTTAAGGAAAATCGACATATTCAACCTGTCTAAATCTGCCGATCTGCCGGAGATCAAAAAAAATCTGCCGGAGATCAAAAAAAAAAAATTTCCGTTTGTTGTAAAATAGCTTAAATCATAGTTATTTTAAATTCAAGCCTATGTATATATCATGTTCATCTACCTAACTGTATATATATAACTAACTATATTCATATACCTAAACCTTCTGGTTTCTTCATTAAAGCAATTTAAAAGATAATAATTCTATATGTAGTTGTTTTGTTTAAAGAACACCATTACTATGACAAATATTCAAACTTTATAAGTATCAATTAGATTTTATTTGCTAAATTCTTTGCTAAATTTCTAAAATAGTCATGGTAACGACATTTTTGAAATGAGACTAATAATAGAAATTATAATGTTTAAAGAGATCTACTTAAGAAACCAGAACGTTTAAGTATAATAGAACCATGATATATCGTTGAAAACATATTATTTAGTCTTTATATTTTTAAAATAATATACAAAGGGTTGAATTTCAAATAATAAAGATTTGGGCGATTTTAAAACAAACGGAAATATTTTTTTGCTCTCTCTGTGTAATATAAAATAAGTTGCTTTAGACAGATCGATTATACCAACTTTTGTTAATTTATAATTCAAATTTCAACCTTTAAAATGTTGTATTCATCATTTTACCAATGCTTATTCAAGATCATGTTTTTGTCAATTTTATACATTTTATTTATTATCTCAAAACACGTTAGAGATAGATATAGGTTAGTATAATAAGAAAAAAAAAATAATAATAAGAAAAAGTATGAGATATGAAAGTAGTTTCCAAAAATCTAATAATATACCGGGTGTGATTTAAAATAACAAAGATGCTACCATTTTTCAAATGATGCGGCAACATTGTAACGCTGAAAAAAATTTAGATAGATGGAGCAGGGGCCTTTATCTAAAAATGCAAATTTTCAAAAAAAATTGTCAACGTGCCATCGCATCGCCGTGAATCATCCTATATTAACAGCAAAATAATAAGCGATATTGATCAAAATAAAAATTATTATAGAAATACACAAAAAAACTGCATTATATAGTCTGTGAAGACTATATACTTTGAATTTGACAGTTCTCGCGGGCTTTTCTAGTGTTAATTTTATTAGGTTAGCAACTTGCGGCCCTGCTGACGCAATGCCGTCTCTAATAGAACAGCCTCACTTGACTATGGCTGAAATCGCACTCCATAGTCAATGTAGATAGTTTTAGTGTTAAGAATAATAATTTAAAAAAATATGTGGTCATCTTTTGACAAGTTTATTAATTGTAGTAAACATTATGTGGTGTGTGGTGTGAATATTTTATATGTAATTTTTTGGATTATATTCGACACTATTTTTTTCATATGACACAACACTGACGAAGGCCATAATGTTAGCAAAAACGTTTTTTTAAACCAAATAAAAATAATGAAAAACCAAATGAAAACTTAATCAGCGTTTTTCCCAAACCTAAATCCTAAGAAAATCAAAAATTTTAGAATAATTTTACATATAAAATGACAGCGATCTTTATCTCATAGCCATCGCTGACGCCTTTTTTTCTATGATATTGTATTATTTGCAAATATAATTTTTCGAACATTGATACTTGCAAAATATACATATAAATTTTGTGAATGCAAATAATAATACATCACTATTAGTGGATATTGAATGTTTTTTGTTAAATTAGATCGATTTTCAAACCCCAAAATTTAAAATATATTTTACACTTTATCCATTATCTGATGTACCTATTCATTATTTGTATATTGTAAAACATTTGCTGTATTTGTGTGGTTCATAGTTTATTTGCCAAAGTATTTATTACTATAAATAGGTATATGTATCGTATTTATTAACTGTATATTATGTATATTTCATGTAAACTATATCATTTTTAAAATACAATGCTTATGAATGAACATGTTGATACAATGAACATCAATAACAATGTATCATGAATACATGTTTTCCATGTATTCTACAACATATTTATTAATCCGTAGTATCTAACCAGCGTGACGTCATCAATCTCGCTCCGGGGCTGTTCTGTTAGAGACGGCATTGGTCTGATATTTAGAAATGTCAAAAGCTGATGACATTTTACTGTTGATTTTTGCAAGAAGAGGAAGAACTGTCACTTGTTTTAGTATTTTCCTTTTCTATTTCACGAAAGTAAAAAGAGTTACCTATCTGATTCGTTCAGGCACTCAGTTTAAAGAATATCAGTAACTTTTTTGACAGAGGGATTTTATATTTCCCATGTTGGTAAAAAATAACGGTCAAAATTCAAAGTTATTCATTTTACAGACTATAGCAGTATGTATGCTATGTAAATGCTAAATTTGAACTGCTCTATTTATACAGAGGGTGAAATAAAGTTCACAACAAATGCGAAAAAAAAAATAACGCATTATTGAAATATGTTTATCTGGTATTACTTCAGGCAGGTTTACTACCTCCAATAGCGAAAAAATCACTTCTATATGTTAAGCGACAACTGTCATGGCGGTAAATTAGAAACAGACTCTTTTTTATACAGTATTTGAGATTCGGTGATACAATATCAAAAAAAGTCTAAGAGAAAAGTTGCCCAGATTTGAATTTCACGTCTACGTACGAGTTTCATAAATATACAGGTACTTTAAAGTATCTCCACGACAGATGACACATGACATATCAAAATGATTCTTTTTTGATATTGGGAATGTTCCAATATTGAATAGATATAAACTTTTGTTCAAAAACCCAATAATATTATTGCTCCATATTGCAAACTTTTTGACACACACTGTAGAAAGAAATATCATATGTGACCTAAGAAATAAAAATAAAAGGTAAATAGTTGACTTACTTGATATACAAGGTGTAGAAAAAATCTAATACTTACGGCAACTACACTTAGTTTCATTAATTAAAAAAATAATATAATATTAATAGTATATACTTTAAATATTAAATGCTAAACATATTGTTAAATAGATTTGTCTATACGAAAATATTGACCAGGAAGTGTTAATAAATATATTAAACAAACATTTTTCAGGCAATAATATCATTATTAAAATAAGTATTTTATCTAATCCACCTTGTATATTGTTAATATTATGTATTTCCAATGTTTGAGCATTGTATGAGATAAAAGACAGTATAAAGTAAACCCTTCACAAAAGATACATCTTTAACAAAAAGAAAAGAGACAGTGTAAGGAATATGTACATATATCTATATACTTTTCCTAAGTCAAACTTCAAATAATATACATAGTTATTAAAGAAAATGTTAACATTGTTCTAATACTAATCAAATAATAAATATGGGATATCCTTCCTCATAATAAAGCGACAATAAAGAAATAATATATAAAAAAAAACAAAGCCGGTGGTCATTATCTACTCTGAATCCTCGTCAAGCGAATTATGCTTACCTAATCCATATACTGAACCTGAGTCGTCGTTTACATCCAGATCGTCAACGCTATTCATCCGTCCCACGTTACCTTAAAGAAAATAAATAATAAATTAAAAGTAAAAACACACATTGAAAAATGATTTCACTAGTACAACCTTTTTACTAGTGAAATAAAAAAGTGTTTCCCTTTAAAAAAAATTATTTATGATAATTTTTTAATCAATCAATTCCATGACAGCTATATTCAATATTATATAACATTCAAACAATTTAATTTTTGAAATAGATAGCCACATGTCTCTTTTTTATGCCACTGTGACTGTGGTAATCACTAAATTTGACGTTTGACCAAAAATTTTAAATATTTTTTTCAGATATATCAGAATTCATAAAATTTTACAGAGAATTTAAGTAATAATAATAATGTAATAAAAAATGGTGGTACCCACTTAAAATAAGAAAGTTGCTGTCAACTTCCGATATTTCCGGAAGTTCCGCCATATTGAAAATATTTGTAATCGATAGATTTCGTTATGAAATAATAATGTACAAAAAATCTCCGATCTAGATATTGTAGTTTTCTGGAAAATTCTAATACACTCTCACCTAGGACACCCTGTATCTAAGTATTTTAAAGTATTTCTTGTTGTTAGATATATATTTATTTAATAACTATTCTCTTCATTCTGCCTATGATAAATATTTCCCAAAGATATCTTCCGCTTTGGGCAAGACGGGAACACTAGCAAAATTCATCATGGTGTTCTGAGAGACTATCGTACGTTTCGTTGCTAAGCGGTGGCCATGCGCATAACGTTTTCCTAGCGACTAATGCTACCACCAATTTTATGCTCCTCCCTGGCAATTGTGGAAATATTTACTAGTACTGAAATAGGCAGAGGCGGTGTTATTGTATTTTGTTCTATACCTTTAATTTTATTTATGCATATTATAATTAGTACACGCTTCCTAACAAATATTACTAAAGTTAGCACTAAACAAAATGTAGATACATTTAATATAAAAAATATAAAGTTTACTGAAAAATATTACTGAGATTCATGATATATTTTCATAAAACCCCGCACGTCTATGGATATTTTATGAATAAAATCGGCCATGTTTTTAGAAAACAGCGCTCCCTTTACCATTGCTACGTTGTTTCAGATCCGTTTGTTAAGAGTGTATTTAATTCATACTATACTCTAGGGAAAAGGAGAAACTAAATAGTAGAACTGTTAAGTAACTAGAACTAAATACAGCCAGCAAAATAAAGTATATCTCAAAATGAATTTACCAAAAACTAAAGTAATGTACCGTATGATCGAAAAAGAAAAACGGCGTCCAGTTGGCTGGGAAATGACAATCGATAACATTTCCCATATAAATTACATTTAAAATGACAGCGATCTTCATTTCATAGCCATCGCTGACGCCGTTTTTTTTTCGATCATACGGTACCTGGTAGACATAAGACATTCTAGTACATAACACTGGAAATAGTAGAATATATATACAGGGTGTCCCAGGCTGAGCGTGCATTAGACGTTTCTAGAGTACTACAATATCTAGATCGGAGATTTTTTGCACATCATTGTTCCACAACGAGATCTATCGATTAAAAATATTTTCAATATGGCGGCACTTCCGGAAATACCGGAAGTTGATAGCAACTTTCTTATTTTAAATGGGTACCCCATTTTTTATTACATACTTAAATTCTCTGTAAAATTTTATGAATTTTGATATTAAACACTTTATACCTACCATTAACGTTTTTGAGAAAAAAAAAAATAATATTTTTGGACGAAAAAATCTGCCTGTCAAAAATATGTGTATAGCCTAAACGTTAAATTTAGTGATTACCACAGCCACTGTGCGATAAAGAGAAGACATATGGCTATCTATTTCAATTTATAAATTGTTCGAATGTCATATAATAATGGCCGCAGCTGTTATGGAATTGAGCGATTAAAAAATTATCATAAATTATTTTTTTCAAATGGTAACCCACTTTTTTTACTTCATTAGTGAAAAGGTTTTTCAATTCCTTACTTTTTGACTATACATGTTCCTACATATCTAAAATAAATCGTCTTTAAGTTATTTAAGATTTAGTTTTAAAGCGTATATTTTTCTTGATTTTAACCAGTAGCCTATGACTTTAAACGTCAAGTGATGTAAAACAATAGATCTCTCACATTGTGACACTTTGTTCAAAAAGCAGTATGTTATCGATCATTTCCAAGCCAACTTTGCCTGTTTTTTTCGAACTAACGGTATATTATTAGTAATGTCAACTATTAGATCTAAAGAGTCAAAATACGAGATATATTTTTATAAATACACTTTTTAAACTCTTGAGTAGGAAGTATTTATAATATAGGAAATTCAAATAATTCGTTTTCTGACAGATGGAAATAAATCGTCTGACTGTTTGACACTTAATGTCAAAGGAAGTTAGAAAAAATCAAGAAAAATATACGTTTTCAAACTAAATCTTAAATCACTTAAAACCGATTTATTTTAGGTATATGAACATGTATAGTTAAAAAGTAACAAATTGAACAACCTTTTCACTAGTGAAATAAAAAAGTTTTATATTATGATAATGTTTTTTATTATGATCATTTTTTAATCGCTCAATTTCATGACAGCTACCGCCATTATTATATGACATTTGAACAATTTAATTGAACAAATTTTTGAAATAGATAGCCACATGTCTTCTCTTTATGTCACAGTGGCCGTGGTAATTACTAAATTTGACTTTTAGGCCATACAAATTTTTTTGACAGGTAGTTTTTTCGTCCAAAATTTTTTTTTTCTCAAAAACAAAAATTTTATAGAGAATTTAAGTATGTAATAAAAAATGGGAGCACCCATTTAAAATAAGAAAGTTGCTGTCGACTTCCGGTATTTCCGGAAGTGCCGCCATATTGAAAATATTTTTAATCGATAGATCTCATTGTGAAACAATCATGTGCAAAAAATCTCCGATCTAGATATTGTAGTTCTCTAGAAACTTCTAATGCAAACTCAGCCAGGGATACCCTGTATATATATTTGGGGCAACTAATACACAGCTCGTGATCTTTATTGCCAGAAATTAACAGACGAATTAAGTTAGCCGATGATCAGGTGGTCATAGCTCAAGATGCTTACGACCTTGAATTCATGATGAGCAGGTTAAATTCGGCATACACGGAATGGGGCCTTACTGTGAACATTGATAAAACGGAATACCTAGTGACCAATTCAGATGATAAATTTGACATTTTTATTACTGACAATGCAAAGCTCAGACAGGTTCAATGGTTTAAATATTTGGGGGCACGTATAACCAGAAAGGGACTGGACAAAACAGAAGTATCTGCTAGAATAGAACAAGGGCGGAAGATTATAGGAGCACTGAATGGCATCTGGTGGGACAAAAACATAAGACCAAACACAAAAGTACATATTGGAAGAGCCCTAGTGGAGTCCGTAGTAACTTATGGGTGTGAAGTTTGGACCTTAAAAGCTGAACAAAAGCGAGCTTTGAATGCACTCGAAATGGATATTTGAGACGCAGTGCGTGAGTATCTAAACTTGACAGAGTTAGGAACGTGGAAATCAGAGCCAAAATGGATGCCACACAGACAATAGTGGATAGAGTCGAACAGAGGGGCCTTAAGTGGTTTGGACACTTGCTACGCATGGAACACCAAAGATGGCCCTATCGTATCTACAGCTGGTCACCTCCTGGAAAAAGGAAAAGAGGACGGCCTAGAAGATCCTGGAATGAGGCCATCAGAAGGGCAATGGAGGACCGTAACTTGGAAGAGGAAGATGTTCTTGATCGTTACAGGTGGCGGTTAGGCGTGGGGATGCGACGTTAGTTGCGATAACCCGGGAGTATATATATATTAAGTTAGCACGGAGTATTTATGGAAGCAACACAATCATATTCAAATCTAGAATGCCACTTTATCTAAAGAAGAAAACATTCGACCAATGTGTACTACCAATCATGACCTATGCAGGTGAAACCTGTACACTTAAACGAACATTATAAGGAAACTGCAGGTCGCACAACGCTCAATGGAACGAAATATGCTGGGAATAACCAAGAGGGGCGGTAAAATAATAGAGTTGATAAGACAAAAGACCCAGGTAATAGATGCCATCCACAGAATCAAATCCCTCAATGGGCAGGACACCTGGCAAGAAGGACGGACGTCAGATGGACCACAAAAATTACAGCATGGTACCCACGAGGAATCAAGCTAGAGGAAACACAAACCTGAAATGGGACCGTGATATTAGCAAATTAGCAAGGATAACTTGGGCCCGCATAGCCAACAATGAACACAACTACAAAGAGAGTATGTGAGGGAGGCTACACCATAATTGGAATTGGTTGAATAAGCTGAAAATGATAATGATTAGAAATATATTTTAAGATAGACCATTAAAATACAATAAATACATCATAAAAAATCATATATTAAATTGAAAAATCTTACTGGCAAATCCGTTGAACCTGTCCTTCTTCGTGTACAGCATGTTCTCCAACGTCTGCAGGCCAGTGTTCACCATTATGGGAAAACCGCACAAGTTCTCAATCTGGCGCCATCTGTGCGATCTCTCCTGTAGTTCGTAGGTGACTTCGTTGAGGGCGCTGCGAGCTTCTACGATGGCCCGGTCCACGTCGTCAATAGCCTTGCCGTGGGTAGATACAAAGGCTCCGATCAGGCTTGACCGCTTCTTTCTGAGCTTTTCGCACTGTACAAACATTTTAAGTAATTTTTCTAAAGGTTCGTTTTCACGAATCAAGTCAACTGATCAAGTCACTGGATATCATTTCGCATAATTGACCGTCTAAACACTCGACAATTTATATCAATTGTTTAGATAAATTGTCTCAGTTTATTATGGCTTAATTTTTGGCGTTCAAGTTAAGTTTTTAAAGAGGGCGTCAAGTAGGTACTCAAAAGAAAATTCTGTGAACTTTATTAATATTAAAAGAAACTAATTTAACTTGTTCTTTTTAACCAGTTTTATTGGTTTATTTCAAAAATGACCGATCATATTTCAACATTATTGGAGTCACGCAACGATGAACAATACACGGGCGCAGATGCGTATGAACTCGACTTAAGATTTTTGAGGCTTTTCAAACTCTTCATCAGATAGGTAACTCTTTTTACTTTCGTGAAATAGAAAAGGAAAATAATAAAACAAGTGACAGTTCTTCCTCTTCTTGCAAAAATCAACAGAAAATGTCATAATTGTCAAAGGTAAAATGTTATCAGCTTTTGACATTTTTAAATATCAGACCAATGCCGTCTCTAATAGAACAGTCTCAGAGCGAGATTTATGACGTCACGCTAGTTATATATACTACGGATTAATAAATATGTTGTAGAATACATGGGAAACATAATTATTCCTCGTATTTTTGGTTTGTATTTTAAAAATACAATATATATACCTATTTATAAATACATACTTTTGGCAAATAAATTATGAACCACATAAATGCAGCAAATGTTTTTACAATATACAAATAATGAATAGGTACCATTGCGATAAAAAAAAGTAGTACAAGAATTACTAGTCTGGTCTATAAGGATATCGAGAAGTGGATATCGTCGAACAATACAATTATGCCACCTAACTTAAATGTAAAATATATTTTAAATTTTGGGGTTTGAAAATAGATCTAATTTAAGAAAAAAACATTCAATATCTACTAATAGTGATGTATTATTATTTATTTGCATTCGACTGCATGAGTACTTATTTGCATTCACAAAATGTTCAAAAAATACGAGAAGACCAAATTCAAAAAAATCTTCCAAGCAAATACGAGGAATAATTGTTTTCCATGTATTCTACAACATATTTATTAATCCGTAGTATCTCACTATAGTGAGATGTTTGGACTGCATCTCAATGTCTCCAAGACCAAACTATTGGTCTTTTCTAAGACTCCAATAAATGCACACCTGCGTGTCAAGGGACAAACAATCGAACAAGTGATCTCAATAAAGTATTTAGGAGCTAACATCAATAGTCAGTGCGACCCGAAAAGAGAAATATTTTCAAGAAATGAGCAAGCGAGAAAAATCTTCGTTAGTATGAAATCATTTTTTACAAGACGAGACCTCAGTGCGGAACTCAGAATTCGAATGGCCAGATGCTACGCCTTCTCTGTATTACTCAATGGATGTGAGAGCTGGACACTGGATTCACAGACCGAAAAGAGAATAGAAGCCTTCGAAATGTATGTGTACAGACGGATGCTGCGAATGTCATGGGTACAAAAGATCACCAACGATGAAGTACTCCAGCGCATGCAGAAACAAAAAGAGATACTGAATACCATCAAGGAAAGAAAAATGCAATACCTGGGTCATGTGATGAGAGGTGATAGATACGAAATACTGCGCCTCATAATAGAGAGCAAAGTGCAAGGAAAAAGATCAGTAGGAAGACGCCAGAACTCATGGCTAAAAGATTTAAGAGATGGTTTGAACGCTCATCTGCGGAAATCTTCCGGGCTGCAGTTTTCAGAGCCACAATTGCCATTTGGATCGCCAACCTTCGGCAGGAGAGGGCGTGATAAGAAGAAGATGTATCTAACTAGCGTGACGTCATAAATCTCGCTCCGAGGCTGTTCTATTAGAGACGGCATTGCGTCAGCATAGCCGCAAGTTGCTAACCTAATAATAAGAAAATACATGGGAGTATTTTCAAGTCAGTTGCATTCCTGTGACTTGGATCAGTTCACTGGACACGTGAAAACGCTCCTTTATTCTAGGTAAAAACATTTTTTTTTTCAATAAACTTACCGCTTCTCTGGCTTGCTGAAGCTGTTTTTCTGCTGCTATTTTCTTCCTGTCGTAACTTTTCTGTTCGTATTCATAAGTGAGTTGGAGCCATTGTTGAAGACCGTTTGGCAAAAAACATGAATTTTTGTATGCTTCCTGTGTTAATTCAAGCTGTGCTTTCAAAGCCTAAAATAATTAATAAAGTAATAATAAAAATAAAACTACTGTAATGTTAAAAACAGTATTAAAAATGAAAATACATTGTGTTCAATGATAAATACATAATTTATATTTGATTTTAATTTGTGTGGAAAATTTATTACTCAACGGTGATTCATCAAATTTTAATAAATGTAGGATCGATTTGAACATTCCACGTGGAATTCCATTTAATCAATTATTATTTGTAATTATTTATAACAGTAAATATACCGGACGGATAACAATTTATGGTATTTTTACATAGATTTTTTGAAGTGCAGTAAGTAAGAAACAATGTAAGAATGGTTCATTTCGGAGATACAGGCGGGTGTAGAAGTTTCATTTTTATTTCGAGATTTTTTCCAAATAATTTATGAAGTAACATCAATATATTTGGATGAAAATTGGTGTCTGGGAGTTTTTTGATATTTTTCTGGGAAATTTGATTTTGATGTCATTATGCCTTCTATTTGTAGGTGGCGCCACCTACATGTGTTTTAACTGTTTTGAAGGGTAATAACTTTTCGTCTGTACCTGTATAAAACTACTGAGTAAAAAAATATACATTTCCGTGATTTTCTACATAAAAAATGTCTCTTGGTAAAAATCGCTACGATCAATCGTTCTCAAGATATTTAGAATAGAAATAATCAATACATGTCATTATTGACTAAAAATAGACATGCTGAGTAGACAGTTATTTGACTGAAATGATAAATAGTAACTTTTTATTTTTTTAAATTAATCATAAACATTTCTTTAAAAAATGATCATAAAACAGTTTCTGTTGAACGTTTGGCACAAAAACATTTCAAATTTATGATTTCAGTCTAATAACTAATTAGTCAACATGTTTAATTTATATATATCCCAAATATCTCAGGAACCATTATTGGTAACGATTTTTACCAAGAGACCTTTTTTTACGTAAAAAACGTCGTTAATGTATACTTTTTATTCACTAGTTTTATACAGGAACGGACAAAATGTTATTACTCTTCAAACCAGTTAAAAAATATGTAGGTGGCGCCCTCTACAACTAGGAGTTATATTAACATCAAAATCAAATTTCTCACGTCAAAAAACTCCCAGACACCAATTTTCAATTATTTGGAAAAAATAGAAATAAAAATGAAACTTCTACAAACTTATACAAATTTTTTACTTATTTTTATCTGCAGAATATGCTGCCGAAGTTTCCGGAATACAGTTCGGACCACCCTGTATACATACAAAATCACAATGTTGCAAAAATCACAAAATTAAAATGTTTTTAATAGTTATAATTAAAATGTTTCTAAATATTTCTTAAGAGACATTTAAAAACTATAAAATAATTTAAAAATTTTAGATTAAATATACATACATATTATTCTAATATCCTTGTAATAATTTTTAAAGTGTTCTCTTCTAATAGCAAATATAATGTATAAAAAATTCTTAAGATATTTTTTTCACTAAAGTATTTTAGGCAATCGTTGACTCACCCTGTACAAATTGATGTACAAAGTTCAGATAACTGATAGATGCCTGGTCCCTCATATTATTAAATATGGAAATATGCAATTTTTAAAGCTGAATTTTATTCAAGATTAGAGTTTTAAAATATTTTTAATTATTGATCATTTATAATTGAGATCGCATCAAAAAACGCACACTCATTTATTAATTTCCAAAATTTAACTCAAAATTAAATTAAAACAAAACTAAATTATATAGTGGATATTACTATTCGCTTTACTATTTTAATTATTTCACTACTGGCCTTGATGATTTTAATCAATAAAAACATTAATAAACTTTGTTAAATAAAATTTTAATGAAGAAAATAGTATTTGTAAAACATATTAATTGACGAGGTCAGTTGAAATCATAAATAATATTAATTTCTTATAAATAACAGCTCAATAATAATGAATACTGCTTGCATTTTGGAGTTGGCTAGTCTTTTATTTCAAATAGATATATGTACCTAGTATTATCTTGTCTTGATATACCCAGTATTACAATATCTTGGCTGGAGGAATATCAGACAGCAGATATGGCTATACGATGTATTGGGTGTCCCATTTTCATGTGTTTTATGGCGTTTCTCATTTATTAGTAGAGATAGAAAGATGCGGGTCTCTTTTCTCATTTATTAGTAGAGATAGAAAGATGCGGGTCTCATATTGCTCTGCTACTTTTTATGAAACTAAATATACTACACACGGATTTGTCCTAGCCTTTTTAGTTCCTAAAATACAGGGCGAATTTTAAATTTTTGCATTATTCGACCCCCTTCGTTTATGAAGATTATTATAAGCGTTATTATGGGTTATTTATTTATTGATGTACATCTTACAACGCCGTAAGTGGTAATAACAACTAAGAGGGTGCTATTAATGCACAAAGTAATGATCGCAGAATTTAATAAAAACTAACTTTGAAAGTGGTTTAATGTGCTTATCAATCAAACTTACTTTTCTGACTGCAGTCAAGGGTAATGATGGACCTTTAATGTCACGTTCTCGTTCAAAATAGTTTAAAAAAAAACAGGGAAGGTACAAGCTTCGACTGTTTAAATGCTTCGCCTTATTTTCAACACACAATTTCAAGAAATGCAATACAAAAACTTGAAAATTTAGTTCTTAAAAAGAACTGTTAGGCAAAAAACGAGAATTACTCAGAAATATTCAACAACACGATATTATACAAAATAATGACTGGCACTAGGATAATTGTCAAATAATAAAGGACAACATTGCTGAACACGGCGCAATGTGACCAACATAGCGATAATAAAATTCGGTTTAAACTAATTTTTGCAGCTTTAATCTAAATAAAATACCTGTTACAATCATTTGCTCTATAAAGTAAAATGAAGAGCTGCTCGGTATCTTAAATTACACAACAAATTTAAGCATTTTTGCCAAAATTTCAGGTTTATAGACTTTTGTATGTCGATATGATTGATGACGTGCATAGGAAAATATTTTGCGATTACAATAGTTTAAATTGAGGAAGTTATATACGATTTGAAGTTGAACTTCCAATAACCTTTCAAACGAGTCGATTAAATGAAAATTAATACCTTTTTGAAGACCGTTCAATTTCCTACAAGAATATGTATTGATTTTAACAGAACGCTTATTTGTTAGAACGCAATAGAATTCCGAAAAAATGTTTCCCCGAGTTATTCAAATGGGAAATAGAGAATCACGATGAGACACCTCTTAATAAAAATATTAAAAGCTCAAACATTACTAGAATTTTTTTTTCATCATCCTGAACGATATATAGAATTTTTTTTTGTGCACCCTAATATAGAATCTTTAGTTTCATAAAAAAGTTGCAAAGTGATGTGAATACCGCATCTTTGTATCTCTGCTCATAAACCAGAAACTCCATAAAAAACACATGAGAATGCGACTCCCTGATCATATTTTAAAAAATATAAAAAAATAATTAAAGTAAATCAAAATAGATTATCTCCTTTTCGCTGATCATTTAAAAATGTTCAGTAAATTCACATAAATTATTTCTTTCGTTGCTTTATTACCATAATAAATTAACACAAAAAATATTCGGTAGGTCCCTTCACCTTGAACTCATATTTCCCGTATTACATCAAAATAAACCCAAAGAACATTACACAAAACTGACCTTTATCTCTTCCTTGTACTGATTCACGTCCGATTCCGAATAGGAACTGGTCAAACTCGAAAAATCGCCCTTAGAATCCTGCAACATCTTCTCCAAGTTCTGCTTCTCGAATATGGCCGACTTCTCCGCTTGTTTCGCCTCCTCCAGCTGTTTCTGCATCTTCTCCAGCGCCTGTTCCGAGTTCTGGAGACTGTCCATGTCCTGGTTCATGCGGTTCAGGTGGCTCTTGAACTTCTTATTTTGCTGGTAGGCAAGCCAGCTGCCCAGCAGCACCACGATGGCCGACATGATGAGGGTGATGTCTTTCCATGTTATCTCATCTGGTGGAGAGATTAACATTAAATCAAATAATCGGGCGAAAAAGTTGGTCGGAAACGGAACGAGGTAACAGCGGAGTCGGCGAGGGGCAAATCGGTTACGTAGATTTCAGCTCAGAGTAACAAAAACTATCTAGATACGGAGCGATCAACAAACATTGAAATAGTTTACTTCTCCAAAAAAATCCTATATGGGTATTTTTTTTCCTTTATTCTTTGTATTTTTTGCTTCCGACGACGGAAAGAGATAAAGTTTCCGAAACGTTAAGCATTTTTTTGTTCGTTAGGCAAATTTGTGTATATTTAAACCTAACTTCTGACAAGTAGTTTCCGTTTGGGATTAACGCAGAGAAGTGTTTACATAAAATTACTATTTTATTTTGTAGATTTTCTTGCAGTGTCGAAAAATCCATACAGGATTTTTTTATTGGAGAGATGAATCCGCCACATAGGTATAGACATTTTTTACAAATAGTTTACTATTTTACTATTCTGATTCTTTTTCCGAGTGTTTTATGCAAAGTGTAAAAATCTGGAAAGCATTTTGTCAGCACTGTAAATTAGGGCAACGGCCCAGCTACGACGAAACACCGGTTCCCATTAAAACACCGAAGTTAAGCGACGTAAGGCGATACTAGTGGATGGACGGGTGATCGGTTCGAAACTCTGTATTGTACTGTTGTCCAAAAAAGACAAAAGTGTAAAATCTATTGACACACACTGCTCATTCACGCCGGTTCGTGGCCGAATGATATCGGATATCTCGTGAGTAAGAGTCGATTTAGACACTTGCCAAGTCGGTAGGCTATTGACCATGATATGGCCGAGGACCGCGGTTCGGATTCCGCGTAAACAAAGTAGGCCCCGTCCAGATTAGCCCTGGCAGCAAAAAGGAAACGTTAACTTGAAATCTTTACTTTACTTTACTGTAAATTACAGTGAAATGATTGTGACTATTAGAAAGAGGCTTCAAAAATGGCTACTTGTACAGGGTGGGTCAAATTCGACGCTTATAAATGGTAATACCGTTTTCTATAGAAGATTAATATTACGACGAAAACTAATATCTGTGTCTGGAGCTCAATTTTTTTCAAAAACATGTTGTTACGGGGTGTTTCTCAAAAAAGTGCATTTTTAACAAATCGCTGTAACTTTTTTGTATTATGGAAAATTTTGTATTTTTGTGAAAACATTTCCAAAGCACTTTTTTAAGTAGAATTTAATGGTTTAAGTATATTTTTTTAAATTAATAATTTAAGAGTTATCAACAGAAAAATTGATTTTTTATTTGGGACACCCTGTATATTTTTAACTAAGTGAAAAGAACTTAAAATTACCTTTTTACAACAAAAGTTTTTATTTTCTCAGTGAATTTGTTATAAAATTCTATTCAAAAAATATGATAATCTATAATCTAATACTAAATGGCCTTTGAAATATGGATTTTTTTGGAATATACAACACTTTACACTGACATAAATTAGGATTGATTGACGTATTCACTTGTTTTTGGTCACTTCCTGTTTCATCGGAAATAACTACTACTTTTGATTTTTAAATGGCACCCTCGGTATATTTCTACTTTATTCGACAGAAAATGACACTCTGAATAGAATGACATGTCATATGTCAATTAAACATTTTCGCTTTAAAAAAATCCTATTTTAAATTTCATTCTAGAGTGCCATGGCTGTGTTAAAAACACTAATTTTTATTTAATCAAGGAGCCTTGGAAAAATAGATTTGACCATCTAATCTTATTCGTGTCTTGTCCTGACCAGTAAAAAGATGCCCAAATCGTTTTTTTAATCATATCCCAATTTTTTCAAATGGAACAAGGGTGGCTCATTAGCATATTTGGAAAAAACATTCTTTTATGAATACTTTGGTACCACACATTTGGTATTTCGAGTTAAATTGTCGTTATGAACCGCGTGTTACTATTTCAAATAAACCATATGCCAAAATGTCAAAAGTTGTCATATGATACGTCATTCTATGCAGAGCTTTGAATAAGAAGACTAAGGAAGGAGCATAATGCTATCCATGTATTCATGCATGTTGGGCGGAAAAAGCACTCTAGGGTAGGGATCCTTGACAGTTCTGTTTGACGATTCATTTGACACATTTGAATTTGATTTGAAATTTTGTGGATTTGTCAGTCTTTACGGAGCTTATTTTATGTTATTTATTGTTAAATCTACTACTGATAGTTGTATAAAGGTAGTAAATCTAGATGGAAATTGTGGCAGAACTTAAATTAACAGTGACACTATCGCGATTTATCGAAAAAGACTCTAAAATAGTTGGTTGTGTAGCGTGCGGTAGATCTCGGCAAAAATTGAGTGAAATAATGGAACAACTTTTCGCTAGTAAGTGACTATATAATATACATATGTGTAGTAAACCGATCATTTATGAAATTCATTTAAATTAACTAAATTATATATTTTTCTTGCATTTTAGCTTTTATGTATTACTTGTCAAAGATTAGATGTCAAAGAATTTAGATACGTTAATTTGACTTACCTGCTTCAGTAGCGTATCGGATGTTTGTGTTAATAAATACTTATTGTAACTTATCTATTTTTATTAGAATTATATATTTTTATAACAATTTTAATAACTACCAACATTTATTCACAACGTAAAATAAAACAACAAATTGTTGAGTCTACCCCACGTCTACCCTACATCATAGTTTTACATTTTTTAAATAAAATTAGAACGACACTGATAAACCGGAATTTAAGTCGGCCATATTTGAGGCCCATCGCGGTGTACCTAAGATTTTTGATATGCTCCTTCCTTAGTCTTCTTATTCAAAGATGCAGAGTGCAATTTTCTATCGAACACAGTAAAAATACCGAGGGTGTCATTTAAAAATAAAAAGTTGTAGTTATTTCTAGTGAAACAGGAAGTGACGGGAAACAATAATTGAATACCTTAATCAATCTTAATTTATGTCATATACTAAGATACCAAATCCCGTTTTTTATCTAAAAAATAAGTTACAGGAGTGAGCCACTTTTGAGACGCACCCGGTAGACTCATTTATGTAGTAATATACATACACTTTCTGATATAAAATTCAGGACAAAAACAAGAAAGAATTGAAAAGAAAACTAGAATTTACATTTTAATTAAACTAAAATCAAATTAGTAATGTCTTTATTACTCTGAGGATATTACAGTGGTCCAGCCGAACAGCCCGCACATCAGACAAAGATGGGAATAATAACACTATTGTTTACCTTTAGGTGGTCCGAATAGTACCACGTCCATGGCCTTGAGAGAGATTTTGTGTTTATGAATTGGATCTTTGATGCCCAGCAGGCCGAGGAAATTGTCATTGTTGATGGCCAGTCTGAAAATGCAGATTATTTCGCCGATAAATAAATATTAGATAGTAGATGTGTGCGACAATCACGGACTAATCCTGTTATCGATTTCAAAGTTTTTTGGAAGGTTCAAAAATCGCTTGCGTATAAGTACTAGCGTAGGTTTATGTTTGTTTAAGATCTCTATATGATTAAACAGTAGTAACCAGTTAAATAGGTACGTTAATTTGCACTACCAGTGACAATTTTCAAAAACCGATAAGTTCACGAAGAAAAACAACAGGAAAATATTTGTTTGCAATAAATATAGACGTTATAATAATGCATATTCTAATAAAACAACTGAATGAATCATTTCCTTGGTTAATATATTTAATATAACAATATCACACACACCATTAATAAGTCTACAGAGCGTTTCAATAGAAATTTTAAGGAGAAATTTCTTTGTAAAAATAAAAGACAGTCTTATACTTTGAATAAAAAGATTTAAGCTTCATTCAGAACCTCGTAATTAGTGGAATAAATTAGTGGTTTCAATTAGCGTAGAAGTTTATTGTTCAAACTTTTGATTTTTCCACTAATTATACTTCAAAATTTGCGAAGAATGTTATTTTGGCCTTTGATTTATCATCCGTCTAGAGAAATTGTAGTTATTAGTTAATTTATAATTGATTTTGTTTAGAGCTAGCAAATCTAGAAGGATATTATCAGAACTTAAATTAATGGTGACATTATTGCGAATTCCAGAAAAAAAACTGCAAAATAGTAAGTTCAAAAATAGAGGTAAATAAGGGAACCAGGGTTAGGTAGGTAGAAAATTTTCTACCGTATTTTTTACACGTAGATAATTAGTTTTGTATATTGTAAGCCTTTTTGTGAGTTTATATTTATTTCAAATCAAATACTTCAATCACAACGAAGAAAATTAATTTTCTACGCGTCGCGTCGCGTCGTTACCCAACCCTGAAGGGAACAAAACAGAACTGGTAAGTAGTAATTAACTGAAGGGTCCAGGGGAAAAACATGATAAGCGCCATTTTACTAATTTTATAGGAGAACCAGAAAACGCTTTCGGATGTAATAATGTGACTACTATACATGTAATAATTATGTTTTCTAGGTTTACTCATTACAGTAACAGCAAATGAAATAAAAAATAAACTTAAAAAATCAGAAAGATTTTATTCAAAATGTGAACGCCTAAAAACTAAAAAATATATTTTCAAAATACAATGTGATATGAGGCAGTGTAGATCTTCAAGGGTACTTTCGGGAACGTACAGTTATATTAACACACAGTCATACAATATGACAATATGATCGAAAAATAAAAGGCGTCAAATGGCTATGATATGAAGTGGAGCAACCACTCCCGGCGATGTTTGGTTAACCCATTATAATATTTCAAAAATAACTAAGGCTCTATTAGACTATAAAATTTCTTTGTCAAAGATTTTTATAAAAGATATTTTAAGAAAAATTTGACAGTGTTAATATACAACATTGTATAAAATCACACATGTTACACTGTCAAATTCTTCATAAAATATCTTTTTAATAAAATTTTTGGCCGCTATTAGCCCAGTATTACACTATCAAGTTTCTTTGTCAAAAATCTTTTATAACAGATATTTGATGAAAAATTTGACAGTGTTAATATACAATATTTTATAAAATCACACATAGTAATATTACACTGACAAATTGTTCATAAAATATCTTTTAAATAAAATCTTTGACATCAAACTTCTTTGTCAAAGATTTTATTTTGTCAAAGAATTTGACAGTCATACATATTACGTGTGATTTTATAAAATACAACTTGTATATTAACAATGTCAAATTTTTCATCAAATATCTTTTATAAAAGATTTGATAATATATTTTATATAGAAATTTGATAAGCCAGTATTAAACTAAGAATTCTTTGTCCAAGATTTAATTTAAAAGATATTTTATGTTTATGAAGAATATGACAGTGTAATATGTGTGATTTTATAAAATATTGTATATTAACACTGCCAAAATATACACTTTATACCAAATGAGAATTTCATTCTCTATAAGTACTGCCTTTTAATATTTTTGAATCTGCCTCTACTGAGTAATAAATTTGCACGGGAACAAGTCCTTTTTTTGGACAAAAATTAAACCGGGCGTTTTAATTACATAGAATATAGTTCATCTGAAGTCAGTTGGAATAGATTGGGACTCTTAATTTTCATCGGGACAAGATGGACAAGGAAATCAAGAGTTTCAGTACTTCCAATTGACTTTGGAATGGAAATACTATAATACCTATTGAATTTTAATTTAATAAAATATTACTCCAATTAACGAAACTAAGAAATTAGTTGGTATACCAATTAGTTAAGCTGCAGAAACTAGAAACATCATTTCACTGAATATTTCAACATTTTTGAAATGTTCAAATCAATTTTTGATGCACAGTTGATTGGAAAATATTTGTTTTTGGTTTGGTTTGGTTTTGGAGCATAGTTAGTTAGATCTGCTAAAAAGTAATGGTTTAAATTTTACTTACTTCTCCATAACCTCTATAATCTCTACTAATGTTAAATTAGAACACAAAAGTTACCTATTCTTAGATAAATATATTATACATATGAAAGACACCCTCCCTTATTTAAAATTAAGACAAATTTGCTTTGATACTCTAGAAACTTGGAGTTACATTTTCAAATACTTTAACTTCAAACCACCTTCAAACTTCAAACATGCTTCAAAATTCACTGATACATAACCTATTTCGTTTATTGAAAAAATATCACGGAAACCACTGATGTATTTTTTAAAATAAATGCCAAATGGTAAGTCCTAAAATGTTCTTGAACTCGAAAAATACGTAAAATATGTAAGAAATACGAAAATTTATTGTTGTTTTAATCGAATCTGAAAAAATAACAACAAAAAATATTCAAGTACATTTAGCGATTCAATTTACTTAGCTACAGTTATTACACAATGTAACAAAATTCATATTTTGTTAAACAGTGAATTGATTGTTGTGCCTCTCAAATGTTTCGATAAAGTAACTTCAAAAATCTAACCATTTTTCCATTCATAACAGAGTTCAGAAAAATGTTGAAACACAGACATTATACATACTAAATTATTTGTCTAGAAAGGGAATTTTGTAAAGCAACATAATAGCTCCTAATATAAGCATAAATCAAGGTCTGTATCCATTCATACGATCGTCTGTTTATCGGTTAAGCATTTTCACATAAAAGAATTACAAATATTTTTCTAGTTACCTATAGCTGATTCTACTGAAAGACCATTGCTATGGAGAATTTTATGTATGTACTTACATACATATGGTAAATATTTATTTAACAATCCTAAGTACATCAAAACCATATATCAATTACAGCAATTAATAGAGTTGAATGAGTAACTGGAGTCATCTCAATAGGTGGATACATTTATGTTAGAACTATTGAACTGTATTACTAACAGTCTATATATATGAGGTATTTTAACCTGTTATGTATTCAGAAACAAATAATGAATCAAAAGTGAGAGTGACAAACATTAAGTTCAATTACAATGGTCCATTAAACAAAATATTGTTTATTTGCTATATTTCGTAGTAAAAATATTTTAGTGAGTTATTTTATTACAGCAGGTAGCAGGATATAGAACTTAAGACATAAGTAATCCACAAATTTTTAGATAGTTTTTATTTTAATAACATATAAAAATAGAAACAAAATCACGGTGAGAAAAAATAAAATTTAATGCACATACCTTGGTAAATTAGCCCCCGTAACTTTGTGCGACTCAAAATTAGGGACATATTGAGGCAAATCTACATTGCGTTTAAGCCAATCTGTTGTTTGTTCGACAGTCCAGTTATGTACCTCTGATTTTAGCCATGCCTCCCATAGTTCTTCAAACGAAATATGCATATCATTATTTCTATGAAATGCTCTCTGACGCTTCTCCGTTCCAGAATTATATTTCAGTTCCTCTTTTAAAAACTGAAAAGGTTGTTATAGATTAGACACACTAAAAGTAAATTGCCATGAATGGAAGTGTTTCCTTGAATTAATTGTGTCAGTAACACTATATAAGGTCATAAACCGATATAATCTATACTATACCTACATCATCAGATTCTGCATAATCAATGCTTCCATCTTTATCATCATCTAACTGTTTGTGCAAGGCACGGATTGCTTCTAGATCAAGTTTATCTTTTGCTGTAAAACAAGAGAGATCGTTTGCCCTACAGTTATCTGAATTGTGCTCCCTTCCTGTGTTACCTACAATATTTTCATATTTAACTATCAAGTTTATACGACCAAATATTAATATTTACTTACCATCGCTAGATAAATATAAATCACTGGAGGAAGCGCTCCTTTGAACCGTTTTGTAAATACTGGTGTCCGGTTCGTAGTTACTTCCACAGGCGGATTCACCGCAAATATTTGCTAATAGCCAAACAATTAAGCCTCTATAATTCATTGCAATATATCGTAAAAACTGCTTCGATTGATAGCAAAAACGATTTAATGTAACATTTTTCTAATATTTTGTTTTAATTCTAAAGATTTGACATTGACAAACAACTTTGAGGTTTTCAGATTTTCCTAGAATCTGAAGTTGCCAACGTAACATTTGTCAAATCTACTTGTAATACTGGTTACATATGTTACTGTTGCTAAAAGTCATATTTTTTATGAAATTTTCTTCCATGGATACTAATTGAACTGTTGCTACTATCATATAAAAAAAACTTTACCAAGAAGAATTATTTATAGAATTTCTAGATTATAAAATAGTTTAAATAAAAAAATACCATATTTAAAAATACTTTATTACCAATTTCATACATCGTGACTATTAGGAATAAATATATTTTAATTTTATTTGTATTTTACACATGGTTTTACGGACTGGATTTTTTAAGCAGGATCTGAAAAAAAAATATACTATTAATAGGTATAATTTGTAGGTATAATGGATCTATACAAATACGATCGACAAAAAAAAACGGCGTTAGCGATAGCTATAAAATGATGGTCATATTTTTTATGGAAAATTATATTGGGAATGTCATCCGATCGTCATTTCCAAGCCAACTGGACGCCGTTTTTTAAATTAAAAAAAATAAAATTAAATAGATTGAATAAATAGAATAAATTGAATAGAAAAAATGTTATTCAATTAATTTATATTATATTCTCGCATAAAGGGTTTTGTAACTATATAATATTATAATCAGTAGAGATCTATAACAGAGATAACTCTCTGTCTATAATGAAATTATGTTTATTTTTAAAAATAAATAAATATATTAAACATAAAATTAAGTAAAAAAATATGAAAATTTTACCTCATTTTCTCTACTGATCTTCTCTTGATGTCTCCTTCTGTTGATTTCTGAACTAGTTGCTTTCTTTACAGGTTGACTAGCATAAGTCTTATACTGATTAGGTCTTCTATTATGATAGAGAATTTTCTCCACCAAAATTGCATTTCTTCTTTCAATATCTCTAACTTTCTCTGAAGAGAACGATTTGTTTGGTAGAACGCTTCTTCTAAAGGTACTTCGGCTCGTTTGAGACGATAGGCGCCCTAAGCTCAGCTCAATAATAGAGTTGTTTGTACAACTAGACGAAGTTTCCTCTTCAGAATCCGTTGAACAAGAGCCCTCATCATTGCTTTCCTCGTCAAAATCTTTTTTAAGCTGGTCGCAGGTGCCACAATTATTTAATATTTCTGGGCCTTTAGCCTTATTCATTCCAATGTGTGGATTACAAGAATAATAATAGTAAAATAATATGGTAGATAAAAATATGACCTAGTTTATGAAGGAAAATGTTTCATGTCAATAGACGTATGAATTAAATAGTTTATTGTAAGGTTTCTATAGTTACAATTCGTAAACAAAATATGAGCGATATTAAAAAATGTTTAATCGATAGCTTGAAAATAGGCCTATTAATTTATTTTTCGATCGCCATTTCCAAGCCAACTGGATGCCGTTCTTTTCTAGCTTATGGTTATTATCATGGAGTAAAGTAACTGGGTTCTGGGTTATTATATTTGATGGAAAAAGTTCCTTCGCCAAATTGTCAAGAATAATAAAATTGGAAAGATGGAAATGTCTTTGGAAATAACAAATAACACAGATAATTTTTTTGTAATATATCTATACTAATAGTTGTATATTGTTCATTAATATAATTTTATTCGATTGGAATAATCATATACAGAGTGTAAATAAATAACTGGGAAAGAAAATTCCCCGAAAAATTATTTAAATAAATTTAGGATTCTATAAAGTTTATTTTATATTTTTATACAATGTAGGCTGATATCTTCGTTTACATATTATACAAGGATACTACAAACCAAAATTACTAATAGAAATAGATATCATTTTTACTTTTAATAAACACCTTTGCCAGACAAAGACTGTATCTCAAATTGTCATATTAATATCAATTTTTTTGGTGTTGATAGTAAATAGTCCAGAAATATAATAAATAGTCCAGATAGTAAATAGTCAAAGAAAAATAGTCCAGACCAGAAGGCTTCTAAATTCATCATTCATCATCACTTTCAGCTTATTCCACCATTTCTAATTATGGTGTAGCCTCATGGTAGCCTCACATAGTAAGATACTCGATCTCTTTGTAGTTGGGCTTATTGTAGTTGTCTATTGTTGGCTATGCGGGCCCAAGTTATCCCTACTTATTTTCTAATATTATGGTCCCATCTCAGGTTCGGTCTTCTTCTAGGTCTCTTCATAATTCCTCGTGAGTAGGGGAAGCCGGGGGAATTCCGCGCACCTAAGCAAAATAGCTCCAAGATTGATGTTAATTTTTTTATGAGGTAATTTTTTGTATGAGGAGTATTGATACAATATACAAACTATTGCAACATCGAAAATTAAACATTTTTGTTTTGTTGTACCTATTAACACAAAAAAATAAAAATGTGTGACTGCGCGGGCTTTTGGGTAATACCGCGCATGGTCTGGAGAATGGCACGCATTGAGGTATTTTAAGGCAGTTTAACTAAGACCATAGTATAAGGAAACTATGATAAGACTTTATTGTACATAAAATTCAGGTATATAGATAACACAAATAATAAAAAAGATGATAGTGAGAACAAAAGTAAAGATACATTATATTGTATATTAACAAAAAAAAACACATTCTAACAAAGATATTTATATAAAAAATAAACTGTTACCTAGCAACAGTAGTCACAAAGGTAGATTTTCCTTTCACCTTTCCACTACAAGCAGCATGGACCCACTTTGAGCAGGAATTACAGCGATATCAGACCTCGTTGTCCCTTCCAAACTCTCCGCAAATTAAACAGATGTCATTTTCATGGGTTGGGAAAGGATCAACTTCGTCTAAGTCATCATCAACACAAAGCTCGCTTTCAGAATAACTCTCAGGTTCAGTATCATGGTCATCAAACTTAATATTACGAATGTGCTTTGGCTTCTTGTTCATTTTTTTACTTTCTAAAATTGTTGAAAGTTTTCTTTTTTTCAATACAATATTTGCTTCTCTTTTCTGCCTTTTGTCTCTTCTCTTTTCCTTCATATTTACATTACTTGCTTCTTTTTTTCTCTTTTCTGTCTTCTTTTTTCTTCCATAGTTTCCAATCCTGATTTAAGTGCATCCGCTGACCATTTGCCTTTCTCTGATACCCTTTGGTATGTTCTGGGCATCATAAACTAAAAGAAACAATCTAGAAAAAAATAAATAAGAAGAGTGTACATTTGGGGTAATACCGCGCAGCGCGTTATTGTTTGTTTTGTTTACGCGCGGTATTTCCCCGGGAGCCGTTTTTTTACCTAAAAATTTATTTTAGCAAAAGTACGTACATTTTATTGGTGATCGCTTGCGATAACACTTATAGGTGTACTGGTAAGTGGAAATAAAATTAGCTGCTTTTAATAATCACAGGAACTACTAATTATTAACCGATTAAATTGCCGAAAAGATAGATGAAAAACCCATCTAGCACTAAAATCTAAAATGTTCGTTATTGGTTAACGGCTGCCGGCAATTATTCTAAACTTTTGGAGCAAACTTCATATGGCTTATGCAACACATTCATAAGACCCACCCATTGCTTCTTCCTATCGTACTTTTTTGCCAGGAGCTTTTGCTTCTAAATTTTTGAGTGATATATGCTAGATTTGTTTACTTCAATGAGTCGTGGTATGTAAATAAATACTGTTAGATATCACAAAAGTGGAGTTATATTCTATAATATTGGAGATAATTTATGATAAAATGAAAGTTTTTGTAGAAGAAAAAATGTTTATTTTATAAAGAGAAATTATTATTTAAATGTAATAGCGAGTATTTAACACATAATCTTTCAAATTAGAGTATTATAATTAATGTTAAATTAATGATGGTTATTTAGTAATTGCGAATAATAATTTATTGGATACTTTAATATATCAATATCAACAATTACATTATATGGGGAATTTTGTTGACGATATTTCTTAATAACTTTTTTCAAAAATGTTCCACGTTCAAAAGTCAGTGGCGTTTACAAATATTAAAAAAATTATAACTTGTATAATATAATTAAATATAGGTGGTATGTTAAATTCTATTTATATCCCTATATTAAGTAAGGTTGCAATTATATTTTATTAATATTTATAATATATACACATGTATCGTATACTTCAATTTAATCTAGGTAATAGATGAAGTTATTTTTAAAATACAAATTTTTATTGTGTGGTTCTATTATAATACGTAATTTTACCCTATTTGACGCTTATGTGTTCTCATTACCTATTCCTTTAGTACCAAAATCCATTATATGAAGATCCATATATAAGTTATTTATTTAAATTGTATAGTTCACTAGTAGTTTATTTTGTGTGACATTTGATAAACAACATGGTTCAACTTAAGGTACAAATAAAATATCTATATCAAGATACATAATATTATATTTATTTATAAACTTATTTTTTACATTTTTATATTTTATTTTTGTTAAATATTTTTAGGTTTTGGTAATTTTTTTGATGGTTTTTCTGGTGAATATTAATGCTGTACCTGTACCTAATCCTGATGCAGTAGCTGAAGCCAATCCTGATCCAAAACCGAATCCATATTTTGTAAGTGTAATAAAAAATATAGTACATTCTCATAAAATCTGATCTTCTCTATGGTATTATTTAAGATTGTCCAGTTGGCTTAGAAATGAACATCAATGACATTCCCCATATAATTTTACATATTAAAAATGACAGCGATCTTCATTTCATAGCCATCGCTGACGCCGTTTTCATTTTTTTATTTCATATAGTATAAGTGATAATGTAAAATCAATAGGAATAATTATCTATATTTTTTTAAATAAAACTTACGCTTTCATTTCTTCTAAATGCGTCGGTAATAACAAATTTCTTATATAATTGGCAGTATGCTTACGTTCATGATATAAATACATATTTTCTTATTTTATTAAATTATCTTTGATATTTGGGTTAAACGGTTATATTATTAGGTATTTAAAAAAATAAATAAATAATTGTCTAGAAGTATTTAGATCAAATAGATTTTATTTAGTAATGATATTTTATTCATAAACTTTTACTTTATTTTAAGGATTCTTTTTTTGTATTTGAATATACAGAATAGTTTCTAAATAATAATCTATCGAGAACGTTTTTATCATCTTCATTTGCGTAAAAATACCTAGCCAGTTTTACATAAAATGAATGCCGAACGCTTATTTTGCTACTTCTTGGGACTAGTGAAATGGACTCTTAAGACTCACCCTGTATAAAAAAAATAGGAATATATTTTTTATACAGGGTGTCTCAGAAATAAGTGCAAATATTTTAACTGGTAGTATAATTCAACCCCAGAAACAGGCCTATGAGTTTTTTTCACGAACATTTTTTTTTGAAAATTCGGAATTTGTTGAAAATTTTTTTAGTTTTTAGTTAAAAAACAAATTTCTTGATAATATGGCAACATAGGTAGTAGATTAAATTTGCAAGAAAGAAAATCCAGAAAAGATCCAGCGGTACTAAAAATTTTAGCAAAAAATATTTTTTTTGGAATTTTTCAAAGTAAAATAACTCCCGTTATTTTAGACTTATTTACTTTTAAAAACGATAAAGAGAAAATATGTTTCTTTTATCGAGATCTACCAGCCGTTAAAATACTTGCACTTATTTCTGGGACACCCTGTATAATGAATTGCTTTGCGATGAAGACCATTTGACATGAGAAATTGTATGGTGAATATCATTGATCATCATTTCCAAGCCAACTTAATTTTGTTGGATCATAATATAAGATTTCTAAAAAATATTTGTATTTAATTTTCACAGTATGTTGGTTGGGGTCCATGGTACTGGTGGCCATACAACAGAGTAGTTTACTATGGAACTCCATACGCTGTTGCTATATAGTATATAGGCTATAATGGAAAATAGAAAATTGCAGGTTCAGTTTTTGGTTCAGTCATACTCAGTAGCTTCAAAGTTTGTTTTTGCACATTTTGGTAGCTTTAAGCTTATTTCTTTTTTTTTTTAATACAATATTTGCTCAACTAAAATTGTGATACCAAATAGTTAGGCTTTAAATCAAACGAAAATATTAATTATTATTATTTTTGCTTACTAGCTATATAATTTCAAAATAAAATAAAGAAAGTAAAAAAAATATAGGCAAGAGTTTGTTTATGTGAATTTAAATATAAAAATGCGGAGAACAAAGACGAAACATATCTGTTATTAATAGATGAACATTACCTACAAATTACATCATTTTTCTAGTTACTAATGACTACATTAAATGTATATTTATTGTTGCAAAATTTGTGATTAGATCGTTGTTATGAATATAAATATACACTATTTTCCATCAATTACAACAGTATTCTTTATCTCTAAACTGGTACAAACTTAAAAGTACTGTTAAAGTATTGCAATTTTATTCATTTTTATTTGGATTTTTTTTATTAAAAAATAATTTCTAATCAGTACAATATAAGGATGCATATATATATGATACTTTAATAAATGGCAATTGGGAAAATACTCGGTAGAGAAAAAAATGCTATTGGAAAGATCTCAGATATAGGAGAAAATGAACATTTTACGTTTAAACCCCTATATCTCAAAAATGTTGCCGTAAGTTTGAAGATTTTGCTATAAGACTGGCAAGAGAAAGCAATGAGTTTTTCAACGACGCGCGACGTGCCACACAAATCAAAAAAGTGTGATTGGATTGCGATAATTTTTTAAATGGAATACCCTGTATATTATTGCATTTTTTGGCTTTCTTTATGATCACTTTACATCATCCTAAAATATTATTAAATATATTTTTATAGTTTCAGAAATATTAATAAATAAATAGGTAACAAATATATTTTTTCAGTCTTTTTTAAAAAAAATTATTAAAAATACAAGAAATGTCCTCAAATCATACTATTATACTATACTAGCTATTTACTACAGTTAGTCTATATTTACTTTCCTATAAATATCCTAATCTTAACCCATACAGGGTGTTCAAAATTCTATGGAAAACTTTCTAAGATATAAAATAGTTTTTCTTGGCTTTTTTAAATAGAACACCCATATTATTCCTTAGTTAGATGGAGAATTAAAAAATATACATTTTTTGTGTTTAAAGTATTTCAAAATTTTTAACGGTTTTTCGTATATTCGTAATATATCACATAAGGGGTTTTCAACAGTAATTTTTTATCAAAGCCTAATGATTGTGGTCTGGTCTTTTACCGTTGATAGAGCCATACGTAATAAAAACTCGAATATTTGCGAAACCGCAAAAAAAATAAAATGTTTTAAACACAAAATAATTTTCAATTTTTAATTCTCCATTTAACAATGAAATAATATACAGGGTGTTCCATTAAAAAAACACGAAGAAAATTTATTTTATATTTTAGGAAGTTTGGCATAGAATTTTGAACACCCTCTATGGTTTAACTATGGTTTAACCTTTACGATATTTATAGCAAAGTAAGTAAAGACCAACTATAGTAAATAGCTAGTATAGTTTTGATTTCAGAATATTTCTTGTTTTTTAATATTTTTTTTTAAGTCCGAAAAAAATATTTTTAGATAGTATCTCTGAAACTATCAAAACATATTTAATAATATTTTAGGATTATGTAAAGTGATCAAAAAGGAAGCCAAAAATGCAATAATATACAGGGTTTTCCATTAAAAAAATAATCCCGATTCACTCACACTTGTTTGAGCCACCCTGTAGAAGTTAAACTATTTTCCTGAAATATATCCCAATACATACTTTAGGTTTGCACTTATACATAATTCCTAAGTTTATTATTATAGAAGCTACAGATGCCCGACGCACTTTTGTCGGACCCTGTATATCAATCAAAATTACCGAATAATTTGTATATTTTTATTTAACTTTTTTTATTAAATAAAGGATGATCATTACCAATTACAAAAAAAATCTAGTTGCATATGAACACATTATATATTTATGTATAATTATTGTAGCAAAAATTGTGACATGATTTTTATTCGAAATGAAATAATATATTTGTACATCCATTTAACTATAATAAATTATTGTTAATATAGCACTTATTGAAGTGAATATATTAATCCTATTTCTTTTATTTCCCATTACAACAGTTTCCTTTCCCATAACCTCCACCTCCGGAGTAAGCACCGGCACCAGCACCTGCTCCAGCATAAACACCTCCTCCTCCTGAGTATCCTCCGGAGTAACCTCCTTGGTAGGCACCTTCGCCTTTGTAAAGGCCATCGTCAAATTGTTTTTCGCGATAATCGGGCTGCCATTGACCTTCGGCCCCGCTGCCGCGACCTCCGGGTTGGACTTGGCCTTCGAAGCCGCTGCCTCTACCACCTAACAAGAAGAAAAAATTATAAATGATTTCTAGTTGATAGATATATAGTTTTCAAGTCTTTATCTTTATAATAATATACAGGGTCCGCAAATAGTACGTCGGGCATCTGTAGCTCCTAGAATAAAAAACTTGAGAATTTTGTTTAAGTGCAAACCTAAAGTATGGAGTCGGATGTATTCAGGAAAATATTTTAACTTCTACAGGGTGGCTCAAAAAAGTGTGAGTGGGTCGAGATGATTTTTTAAACGGAATACCCTGTATATTATAGCATTTTTGACTTCCTTTCAGATCACTTTACTTAATCCTAAGATATGAGTAAATTTATTTCAATAGTTTCAGAGAAAAATAAATCAAAAATATATATTTTTCAACCCTTCTTAAAAAAAATATTAAAAATACAAGAACTGTTCTGAAATCAAAACTATATTAGATATTTACTTTAGATGGTCTGTTCTTACTTTGTTATAAATATAGTAATCGTTAATCATACAGAATATTCAATATTTTACGCCAAACTTTCAAAAATATAAAATAATTTTACTTTGTTTTTTTTAAAAAAATGGAACCGATGGAGAGTTAAAAAATGAACATTTTTTGTATTTAAAGTATTTCAAAATTTTTAATAGTTTTCCGGATACACGCAGTATTATTTCATATGGCGCTTTCAATGGTAAAATACGAGCGAAAAACCATTGGATGGCTTTGATAAAAATTTACTGTGGAAAAGGCCATATGAAATACAAAACCGGGAATATCTGCGAAACCGTTAAACCTTTTGAAATACTCTAAATGCAAAAAATGTTCATTTTTTAATTCTCCATCTATTGAAGAAATAATATACAGGGTGTCCCATTTAAAAAAAAGCAAAATTATATTATATTTTAGAAAGTTTGGCGTAGAATTTTGAACATCCTGTATCATTTACGATTTCCATATTTATAGCAAAGGAAGTATAGTCCATCTAAAATAAATATCTAATACAGTTTTCATTTCAGGACAGTTCTTGTATTATTAATATTTTTTTTAAGAAAGGCTGAAAAATATATCTATAATTTTTATTTATTTAATAATATCTCTGAAATTATCCAAATATATTTACTCATGTCTTATGTAAAGTTATGTTACATGGTTTATGTAAAGTGATCTGAAAGGAAGCCAAAAACGCAATATACAGGGTGTTCCATTTAAAAAAAATCATCCCGATCCACTCACACTTTTTTGAGCCACCCTATCCTACCCGTTAAAACATTTTCCTGAAATACATCCTAGTACAGGGTGCTTCAAACTTCCCGCCCTTGGCTTATAACAGGAAAATGAAAACTGCAAATACAAACTTCGAAGACAGGATTTGAATGGCAGTGTAAGGTATTTTTTTTTCGTATTTAAACATTTTTCAACTTTTTTCAAAATGGTGGAAATGACGTCAAAAAAATATTTTTTTCACAAAGTCATCATTTTTTTATATTCTGAAAGAACATATTTTTTAAACAACTTTTATTAAAAAAGTTTGAAAAAAAGGGGTGAGTTGAGATTTATTTAAAAATTTTAAATTTAGAGTCCCATAGCTTGTAAAAGATAGAGAACAACTTTTTTAATGAAAGTTGTTTAAAAATATAGCTGAAAATAAAGCTCTTTCAGAATATGAAAAAAAATGATGACTTTGTGAAAAAAATAGACCTTACACACTGCCATTCAAATCCTGTCTTCGAAATTTGTATTTGCAGTTTTCCTTTTCCTGTTATAAGCCCAGGACAGGAAGTTTGAATCACCCTGTACATACTTTAGGTTTGCACTTAAACAAAATTCCCAAGTCTTTTTTCTGGGAGCTACAGATGCCCGACGCACTATTGCCGGACCCTGTATATTTATAAGTAATTTATTTTTGTTTCTTAAAATATTTTGATTAAAATAGACTACATATGTAAAAGTGGGCAACGCTGTGCCGGTCAAGCTTGATCACGTGACTAAAAGTTTATTTGGTATGAACTGTATAAAATATAGCTTCAACGAATATTGAGGCACAGATTAGATATCCTATAACAGATAAAAATCTTGTCCCTAATTCGTGGTACGAAAATTGTTTTTTATGGCGATGAGCAAACGAGTAAAATTTCCTGTGCGCAAAAATAAACTCGCGTTTAAACAGCGTAATAACTGGGCCGGTCAGGTGCAGTGCACAATTTTAGAGGCCATAAGTGGGCGTGCTATGTGCGCAAACTAGTAACCTAACTAGTCCGCGACTCCGAAAATTGGAACCACGAAAAACAATGCTTTTGACGATAAGTTTATAATCTGTATAATCTGTGATTGAGGCTTAAAGACAGATTGAATTTATTTTCAAAATTAATTTTAGAAAGTTTCAAGTAGAAGTAATGGATACATTTTAGGAAACTTACAATGATTTTTTAATATTATTTACCTGGGTAAACCTGGCCAGATGCACCACCGCATCCACCACCACAACCTGAACCGCCTTGATAACCACCATATCCTCCCGAACCACCATGTTGACTAACTGGTGGATAAATTCCTAAATATCCCTTTTCCCGTATTGGTTTTGGAAGCATCGGTATACCAAGTTATGGTATGGTCTCTTTTAACTGCTGGGCAAACGTTTCGCTCTTCACTCCTTCTTATTGCTCAATACTACATTGACATGTTTGTCAAAGTTGTACGTTCTCGGCATATCGTCCACTGGGAGTTGCAGAAGTGGTATTTCCTTTTTCCTTTTTGAGGGTGTTCCAAGCCCTGATCTGACAATTCTCCCAGTACTAATTCCGTTAGTGACCATTCTAAACATTGTCGCATTGGCATATCTACCAATGACAATGTGCAGTGGTGTTAGATCTAGAATGACCTCCATTGCTGCTGTTGGACAGGTTCTCATGGCAATATCACTACATACATTTTAAGTTATTTTAACAAATCTTGTGAGTACTTGTGAGTACATAAAATGCATTTTTTTTAAACTGAATTACAAACTTTTCTCTCTGAATGATAATATATAAATAAGATCAGAATGATATAAATAATTTTTAAACTTTTATTAATTATGAGGGCGAGCGTCATAATGAAAGTCATGATGGAACCTCTCTATTGATGCGCGAGTCTCTAAATTTAAATTTTCTAACGTGTCTTGAAAACCATAACATATACCGGGTTCGTCTCAAAAGTGGCTCACCTCTATAACTTTTCTATTTTTTCAGATAAAAAACGAGATTCCGTATGATAGTATATGACATAAATTGGAATTGATTGACGTATTCAATTGTTTTTGGTCACTTCTTGTTTCACCGGAAATTACTACAACTTTTGATTTTTAAATGGCACGCTCGATATTTATTTATCTTTATTCGATAAAAAATGATATTTTGAATAGAAATATTTTTTGAAAACTAATTTTGAATCAAGGAGTCTTGGAAAAATAGATTTGATCGTCTAATGTTTTTAGTGTCTTGTCCTGGCCGTTTAAAAGATGACCAAATCGTATTTTTAATTATATCTCAATTTTTCCAAATGGAACCAGTATGGCTCATTAGCATATTTGAAAAAAGCATTTTTTACGAATAATTTGATACCACACACTTGGTATTTTGAGTCAAATTTTCGTTACAAACCGATGTTATAATTTCAAATAAACCATATGCGAAAATGTCTAAAGTTGACATATGATATGTCATACTATTCGGAATGTTAGGTTCTATCGAATAAAGTAAAAAAATACTGATCAAAGTAATAGACAGATATGTAATAAGAATTTGACTCATTAGCAGCAATTTTTTCAATCTATTGACCAGCCCACTAACAGTTATTTGTCGAGCACATATTTCCATATTTGTTAACAATTCATGATTAATCATAAATTAACGCTTAAGGTTAACGAGAATTATGTAGAAACCTAATATACTTTCTCAGTTATTGAAGCAGAAAAAAGCAGGATTGAACATATCGTTTATCATCTCATTATGATTAAATGTTATACCAGGTGATGCATTGGCGTTAGTAACAATAATAAACAGGCAAAACCCCATGCAAATTTTGAACTGTCCATATATTGGCTCCGCTGTTAGGTGAGTTTTCGACGATGTTCTCTATGTGTATCTCGGAAACTATTGGAGATAGAGAGACGGTTAAATGAGGAAAGAATTGCAGTTTTGTGAGGTCATAAATATGCGCCTTTCAGATTTTTGAAAAAGTTCTTGGCTTACTAGATATTTCGAAGAAAACAAAATTTGGCTATTTTAAAAATTGTCCCTAATTCCATTATAATCTATTTTAGACAAAAAGTTTTCAGATACAAGTTGTAGATAATCACATCCTTAATGAGACTGCGTCGTCCGTTTTTTTCTAAAGCCTGTCATTTTTTATATATAACACAAATATATGTTTTTTTTAAATGGAAACCATAGTTGGCCATGACATCATAAAAAGCGCCATTATTTAAGTTTTTCAGCGATATAAGCTATAATATGTTTTTTCGAAAAATTACTGAGTTATAGCCAATTCTTATAATTTTAAAATAATTTCACTTAGTTTACCATGGAAACAAGTTCAATCGTCGTTGCCATGTCGTTGCCTTCAGAAATGCAAAACTGTCACATCCAAACTTTGTAAATTAATATAAACAAAAATTGTAAATATGAATTCTTTAAATGAAGAAAAGCATGTAGGATTATTGGTTCAACTTTTCTTGGTCATACATTTTCGAGGATACGTTGACCGGTGAATGTTACTTACGTTTTTTAGAGAACGGTTTTCAAGACATGTTAGAAAAGTTAAATTTAGATAGTCGCGCATCAATAGAATGGTTCCAACATGACTTTCATTATGACACCTCCTCCCCCCCATAATAAAAGAAATGTTAAAATTATTTATATCATAATTATGCAAACTCAGGGATCGAAAAAGGTGGACTAATTGCATGGCCCTCCTCGATGAATTAAAAGAGGCCCTCGAAGAGGCGGTACGGGAAAAATAAATTAAAGTGTATGGGCCCTGGTACGGGCTATTGATATTATTTTTTTTTAAGTTTTAGTTTGCGTAATGTAAATTGCAAAGAACCGTTTAGTAGTACATTCTGTCTTTTTATAAGTTATAAATCATAACAGAATAAGAATACCATATCAGCTAAGTGAAATTAGTCAATAAAAATAAGAATTGGCTATAACTCAGTAATTTTTGGAAATAAACATATTATACCTTATATCGCTGAAAAGCTTAAAAAACGGTTATTTTTATGAAGTCATGGCCAACTATGGTTTCCGTTAAAAAAACATGTTTGTGTCATATGTCAAAAATGACAGGCTTTAGAAAAAATCAGAAAACACAAACTCAATAGCTATGTGAGTATCTACAACTTTTATCTGAAAACTTTTTGTCTAAAATAGATTATAATGGAATTAGGGACAAGTTTTAAATTGCCAAAATTTGTTTATTCGAAATATCTAGTAAGCCATGAACTTTTCGAAAAATCCAAAAGGCGCATATTTATGACCCCACAAAACTGCAATTCATTCCCCATTTAGCCGACTCTCTATTTCCAGTGGTTTCTGAGATACCCATAGAGCACATCGTAGGAATATTGCTGGACTTAGGCCTAGGCCAACTAGGCCCGGGCCTGGGGCGGCAGATTTTTAGGGGCGGCAAATTTTGAGCATACCAAAATATTTATCTTTTTTTAGCTTTTATTTGTTCATAAAATATTTCGAATATAACCTTAGCCGATTACATATTTATTTACTTAACTATTATTATTGTTTAAATATATAATTCGCTTGGGTTATTTTTTACTGCATTTTGCCATGCATCCAGTTAATAAATACATAAATACCTCGAATATAAAAAAAGTTCAAAACCATTAAAAAATTTATCAAAAACACGTTGGTCTGCACGAAATGAAGCTTGCCAATCACTATCTTTGTCTTCCAACGAAATAAAATCCACGTTTGAGTCAATTTCTGAAGACGATACCGAAAAGCCTAAAACTCGATTAGATGCTTCTAGTCTTCCTAAACAATTCAAAAGCCTAGAAATGGGTTTTATGGCAGTCTTTTGGACAGACGTTTTAAATAGATTAGATGCGGTCAATAAAAAGCTTCAAATGGTGGATATTGATCTACTACTTGCTGCAGATTTATATAGCTAATTGGAAAAATATTTTTCTGAAATTAGAAATCTAGACAATACTAAATCATTTGAGGAATATGAAAGAAGGGCCATAGAATTGTTCGGTGAGAAAGAATATGCGGCAGATAAAAAGAGAAAAGTGAAACGGAAACGACAATTTGATGAAACCAGTGATAATGAAACTCTATTTAACGCTAGGGACGATTTTAGGATAAATGGATTTAATGTTATTGTTGATAAATTAATCCTTGAAATTTCCTACAGGAAAAGTTCCTACAATGACTTTTCTACCAAATTTGGTTTCTTTAGTGATTTATCTACTTTAAGTATTGACGACATTATCGATAAGTCCAGACATTTAATAACCTGTTATCCAAATGATTTATATGAGTCAATGCCTAATTAATTAATACATTTTCGTGAATTTATAAAATGCATTAAGTCAGCAAAACCATCTGCTAGAGAGCTTCTTAAAGTAATTTATGAAACAAACGCTCAAGACCTGTTTCCAAATACTTTCATAGCATTAAGAATCTTCACATGTACTTTTATTACTAACTGTTCTGCTGAACGCTCGTTTTCTGCATTGAAACGTATTAAAACTTATTTACGGTCCACTATGGAAACAGAACGTCTAAATCATTTGGCAGTTTTACATATAGAGTCCGATCTTTTAAAAACTATCAATTACGATGAAGTAATTGATAATTTTGCGAACAAAAAAGTACGTAGTATGCCTTTATAGGCATATAACAAACCACATAGTTTTTGTTCGTTTGTTGTCATTTTATGTGAATATTTTAATATTTATTTTATGTTCTGTGTTGATCTGTTCTGTCGGTCTATTCTGTTGTTGGTCCTGTATTCAAATAAATGTTTTTTTATATCCGTAATTTTTTTAATTAAAAAAAATGTTAAGGGGCGGCAATTTTTTTTGGCCTGGGGCGGCAACTTCGTTAAGTCCGGCCCTGCGTAGGAAACTCAACTTGTATATTTTTTTAAAGATCTGCGTATGCTGAAACGAATCTGCGTATGCTGAACTACACGTGCCAAATTTGAATAATTTTGAACAAGCAGATTTTAACTAATTTAAGAAAAACTGTATCTATTTTTAAATTGAAACTGAACAGGTAATAATACAAAACCAGGCAAATGCAACATACCTTAATTATTGGGCAACCTACGATTTTGTGAATGTCGTGTGTTTTTTTAATTTAAAAAAATCTCTATACTTCTGTTGTTAAAAAATTAAAATAATTATATGTGCACTATGTGCGCATATTTGAAGTGAAACTTCTTCTTACTTCCGTCCGTCTGTCTGTCCGTCTGAGGACTGATTTCGTCCATTTAGAAGCATCGGTTCGAAACGTCGAGGGCGTCATCCTGTAGCGCGTCGTCAATTATGCCGAAATCG